CATGTGTGATAAACCGCTTACAAAAGTGAGTTAGTTACAAAAAATATAAAACTAAAAGGGGTTTATGTCGTACAAAATAAAAAACACAATTTTATGCTCCAAAGTGGGATATTAGAATCTTTCGCAAAAAAAATATTGATTTCTAAAACATAGCTCCTACATTTTTATGATAGATAGTTTTTCAAAAATGATTTTGAAGGCTTTTTCAAGAGCTACACAAGGCTATGTTAATGTAATCCCCATAAATCCCTCCTTATAAAATGGGCTGCGTTTAATGTGCTCGAATTAGATGGATCTCGTTCGTAAATCGAGGCTTTAAATATATCTCGCCAAATATTTATTTTCTAGAAAATCCATGCAAAGTGAAATCTTTGTAAACAAGAGAGCTACAATTTGCTACTCTAATATTTTTAATTTTTGGAAATCCAATTAAAAACGTCGATTTTTTTTTTCGTCGAAAACCTGTAATTTCAATATTAAAATTTAAATTAATAAAAAAAATCCACCCCCGAGATGGGGTAGCAACTACCCCCCGGATAAAGTGTCCCTCGGCAGATTTTGGCCCTAGGGCTATTCCTGTATTCTATCTTTTCATCTTTTGTGAAAATTTCAAGTAAATCTAGATCAGATCGAAAAATTGCTACACAAAACGATTTATTTCCTTAACTATATAGAATCACTTTGCCGTCCGCATCATCTGTCTGTCGAGACCCTTTATCTCGAGAACACGTGGAGATATCAAGTTAAATTTAAAACAATACAGTCCAGTAAAATTACTGTTTGAAAGCACGGGCTAGTTTGTGACAAATCCAGTATTTGTTTCTTAGGTTTTCACGCACATCACTCATTAAATAAAACTAGTTTTTTACGGGTTAATGCAGGAAACTATATTTATTTATTGACGTCAGTCGTAGCCGTTGTAGCATGGTCATTCGTAGCCTGTAAAGGCTACGAAACGTCAATAAATAAATAAAGTTTCGTGCATTAACCCGTAAAAAACTAGTTTTATTAAATCCAGTAGTTAAGATTTTTTGCAGTCCGTTTATTTTGTTGACCCAATAAATAATCCAAGTTTGTGACCGTTAACTTAGAACGCAACTACGTAAAAAATCGGAAAAACTATGGAAAAGGCGGCGTTTTTTTATCAGATTTTGGCGATTATTAAAGTAGACTAAATTTGCTACAATATGAGACTGCGTTCGGTGCTCGAGGTCAAACTTGGATTTCTCATTGGGAAAACATCTTCAACAAGTCTGTAAAAAAATTGTTAAAAATATTTAACCGTTTAACCGTTCCCAAATCGTCATACAATGCAAGTTATATGTTATGTAAGGGTCAAATACAAAGCGCAGCAAAATGCCTCAGCCTTTGTTCAATGTAAGCTGAGTGCAGTTGAGATACGAGCCACACCAACCAACCTTATCCCATGAAGTTTTGGAAAGTTTCAAAGTTATATTAAAGTTTTTTCCTCAAGAGGAGTAATTGAAGAGAACCTTGTACTTAGTATCTTTTTAAAATTTCTCATGTACTTTGAAAATTGTTTACTGGATATTTCGGGACATTTGTATATTTATTGTTAGGTATCTATTTTACATTATGTGATACATGTTTATAGGTTTGATGTCAGCTTGCAATTTGACGACAATGCATGAAATAATACAGGGAGAAAAAATTAAAATGGATCCTTGCACTGAGAAGAACCGGCAAGAAACTCATTTCTTGACATTGAAGAGGCTCAAGAAACTCATTTCTTGCCGGTTCTTCTCAGTACAAGGTCTCCCGCCGTAGATTTGCAAACCGATAGCGTAGCTTTCGACTTTCGCATATGCTTGTTGTACGTGCCTAAACTGAATAAATGAAAATTGAATTGAACTTTACTGACATTAATACAACACCACCAAAGGGTACACCACTAATTTTACTGTGGGTTTTCTGTAAGATGGGCTAATAAGGTTCCCAGACCGGTGCTCCAATTCTATTCATAGAAAAGGCCTGTGTCCCGCCAGTGGCGACATAAATAGTTTTTTTATGTTAAAAGGGTAGCAAACAAGCGTATGCCCACGCGGCCTTAGCGGTCGTAGCCTGAACTTTTGGAGGGGGTCACTCACTACACTAATAAAAAAAGGTAAATTTAAAAAATCAATAAACCCGACTGCTTAAATATACTTGAAATAAAAACTGAAAAGAAAAAAATAAGTCCAGTAGTCTATAATTCTGTTAATAAGGAACAAAGCTACTTTAACAGTCGGGACCCATTAGATATTCAAGAATACATAATATTTTTCAACAGTGGGTCCCGACTGTTAAAGTAGCTTTGTTCCTTATTAACAGAATTATAGACTACTGGACTTATTTTTTCATTATGTCATTTCGACAAATATTTAAAAAGTTACAACGATGACAAAGTGATAGCGCGTTGTACAATGTAAAAGAAAAAAAATGCGGTATTTGCAGTATCTGATCCTATACGAAGTACTAACAATAAAACTGTGATACAGTTCCTTCTTATTAAATGATGAAAAATATATTATCATAATAGGTATTTATGATTATTGAATTTTAATGAAAAACTCAGAATTTTACTGTTTTTCATTTTTTTTAACGATATTACTTAATGTTACAAAAAAGGTTTACTTAATTTAATGACAAATAAGCAAAGTTTATCGTCTTTAAATATCAAAAGCGATAAAAGTATTTGTTTTGTTAAAAAATGATTTGTTAACACAAAATGTGCATTTTGGAAATAATAAAATACAACTAACATTAACAATTTCACATCATAAAACTATAAAATACACTAACTAATGTTAGTTGTATTTTATTGTTATATCTTCTTAAAATGGTAATGTGTATTTTTAAATTAATTAAAATAAACCATCTTTTATTGAAGTCATTTTTGGAAATAAATATCAAATAATATTTTAGTTTTGATTCACTATTTTAGCGGTAATGACTTACACATTAAAAATAGATATATGGTGTCACGGACTTTTTTTAGAACTATTTAAGAGATACATTTTCACTCTACATTACATTTATGTAACTTTTATTATTTTTGCAGTGCAGGCCAAAATGGCTCGCAGATGGGAGTTTTTTTTCCGTCTTATGTGACACTTATTGTTATATATTGGCCAATTCACTCAATAACTACATAAATTATTATATATATGTAATTATCATATATGAGCTATATTACTGTTAGGCTTCATTAAAATCCATTCAGTATTTTTTAGGTGAAAGAGTTACAAAGATCCGTACAAACGTAAGATTGAAATTAAAAGCGTAAGTGGTTAATATACAACTTTAAAGCGTTGTAGATCCTAAACAATCATATAAAATGAAAAATGGTGTTAGGAACCTAAATATGATTTTTGATTATCTAGACAGTGATACCCCACTCGATATATTTTGTCAACTATTTTTTTTTACTTCGTCACAATATGGCGCCTAATTTTGCCCATATTGAATTTTGATGACTATCATATCTTTAGTAGCACTCCCATGATTGAGACGAATCGATTGATGTTTGAATCATCAAAATCGGTCCAGGCGTTTGGTCTCTAGTGTGCCACAAAGGAACAAACATACATATATAGACTGTTAAACACATAACCCTGTCTGCGCGTCGCGCTTCGCGCTCTTGCATTGCGCAGCCGGGTAAAAATAGGTATCTGGAATAAAATAAACATTATTGCACAAGACACAATTTTATTTTATACATTACTTATAAAAAAATGTTATACCATCTTTATCATAACGACGCATATCGATTTTGCTAGGATTACCAAAACTACGTAGTTCGGTTCCTTGTTTCTAAACTAGTACTAGATGTCATTTCCAAGTTATTTTGGCTATCGTACGTAGTTCATGAAAGCACCACTAGATGTCAACAAACTATAAATTTATCGCAGTTAGGTAGGTACCATAGGGTTACCAGATAAAAAAATCAAAAGTCCGGAGAAAAGGCTTGATTTCCATTGAAAAATCCTGAGATTTTTACAGTTTCAGAATTTTCTCTCATACGTACAACAATTTAGAAAAGTCGTAACATTGTCGTTTATATACATGCTGCTTATACTTTTAATTCAATATAATTTGAAGAGCTTAACATGTGGGGCATTTTATAAATCCATAATTAAAGAAAAAACCTTACTTAAAAATGTGTCATCACATTTCAAATATGATAAAACTGATCAAGTACCTACTTGGATAAATAAGTACTGATTTTAACTGTGCAATTATTATCAAAGGAAGATTATTTTTAGTTTGTTTAAGTTTTTGTTTAAACAGATCTTTAAAACGTTAGCTGTATTTTATTGAAAATTCAAAAAATCCTGAGATTTCAAGAGATTTGCAAAATACAGCCGCAATCCTGAGAACAGTCCAAAAATCCTGAAATCTCAGGACAAATCCTGAGATATGGTATCCCTAGGTAGGTAGAAATTTCCTTTTATTATTTGCCAAATTTTTGGGAAATTTCAATTTGACCTTAGATCTGGGGGCGGGGGGGTCATGTCCCCTGTGACCCCCCGCCCTTCGGACTACGCCTGCGTATGCCCCCCCTGATGATATGCGGCCACTATAGCAGCAGCTTACAGACGCTTGCGATAGCAAAAATATCAATCCCACCGTTGACTACTCTGACCCAGTCCCCTACCCCGTGGAGCCCTGGAACCATACTCACCGACAGAAACACAACACACTCAAGAGGCAGTGTTATTTTACTGTCATCTATAAAGTGAAGGTTACTTCCCTAGAAAGGCGCTCCAATTCGACCGGGAAATCGGCTATGACCTACCTTTCTTAGACTCGTATTATAGAAAGATTCTCAGTAATGAATGTAGTCTTGAGCATAGTCGGAAAAGGATAGTGCTATATATATGGCACACAGCGACATTCCTTTGTAACTGTACTCAAGTAAACTTCAACACTTAGTTGTCATTCTGTAATACGGGCCTTAGTTGGTTATAGTTTAATAATAATGTTATTTCTGTATTCAGGTGACATTTCTGATGATGCCGCTGGAGATAGCGTGGGCGGGCACGGTGCAGTGGCTCGCCGGAGACCTCATGTGCCGCCTGATGATGTTCACGCGCACCTTCGGCCTCTACCTCTCCAGCTTCGTGCTGATTTGCATAGCCATCGACAGGTATTCACACCGGCAAACTTCTTGAGCAATAGACAAGGAAGCCTGCGCAGTAGCAATTTTACATAAAAAAAAACTTCTACTGAGCAAGTTTATTTGTCTGTGGTTTTGCTCAAGAAGTTTGACATTGCTCTGTTTTACTGGCGAGTCGATTATTTTGTCACACAAGTCCGACGATTTAATTTTACCAAAATAATATGGATTTTGTGTTTAAAAGTGGTTAAATATAAATATATGTTGTATAGCAAATTACATAACATTTTGGCATTTTTATCTGTGACATACACTCGCGCGACTTGACTCAGTCTAATGCAATATCTGAGCGTAACTTAGTTTTGTTCGTGAGCTGGCCCAACAGCGGAGGAAAATCGACTGAGGGGAACGCTGTGAATATGACTCGCCTCCTGGCCGCGTCGGCCGCTTTGCTCTATGGTTGGAGGAAATTAAAACAGTCGGTCATAATCATAAATCTATACAAATACTAGCTGACTTGACGAACTTCGAACCGCCCAAAAGTAATAATTTGCAACGAAATAATATTGCGACTATAAATTGAGACTTAAGTTATCCCATCTTTCAAGTTGGATCAAACTGCATACGGTGTGCAAATTTAATTACAATCGGTTAAGTAGTTTAGGAGTCTATCCCGGACAAACAACATAATGCGTAATTTATATACCTAGTCAGGTCATAAATTCTGTCACATGTTTAATATAAAATAATTGAAACAAGTTTATTCATTATGTAACGATTTATATACCAAAATGAACTTAACAAAACATAGATTCTTATGACAATAAAGTTTATTCAAAATGACCTCCATGATTTTGAATACAGGCCTTCAATCTGCGCGGCCAGTCGTCTATCGCAGCACGAACGAGGACCATGTCAATATCGGAGGCTGCCTTAATCGTCGTTTTGAGTGACTCCAAATTGGGATGAGGCTTTGAGCACGCCTTTTCCTCCAAGTGTTGCCATATCTTGTAATCTAACGGACTCAAATCTGGACTGGAGGAAGGCCAGTCCTCGTGCCGGATGCGATTTCACGCGCCGTTAGTCAGTCTTATGTGCTCTTCGCTCTATGAGCTGGCGCCGAATCTTGTTGGAATACCCAGTGCCTGTTATTGAACATTGTATGAAAAACAGGTTCCACAAGGTTCGTCAGGACTGTATTTTGATACACAACTGTATTCGTTTTTACACATTTCTCACAAAAATGTACCTCTGTTAAGTCCTAATAAGAAACTCCCAACCATACGATGAGCGAGGATGGAAAATGACCTCGTTGGACACGCGGAATACGGTTGCTCGCTTCCTCACTACTGTGTGCGTACACCTTATCATTTTGTTTGTTGTAGCTCTCTTCTATGGTAAAAATTTTTTCATCCGAAAAAAGAATTTCCCGATATTTTTTTCCCGCGTACCGCTTCAACAAAGCGCGGCATCTCCTCAGTCTCAAGTCCATTAGACGAACATTCAAACGATGTCCTGTTTTTCTTCGATATGCCCGAAGCCCTAAGTCTTCATTTAACACCCTTTTCACCGTGGTTCTGCTTAACCCCATCTGAACAAATTGTCAGATTACTTTTGTTAAATTTTTATATGATTGTTCAATTTATAATATATATTTTTATAATTATTATTATGAAAGTTCGTTTCACTTCTGACATGCGTACTCTGTACACACGCAGTTTTTTTATTAAAAGCTCTCGTTTATAATTCCAGATATTATGCGATCCTGAAGCCTTTGAATGTGACGTGGGAGGCGGGCGTTCGGCGCGCGCTTATGATCGCGTGGGGCTGCGCGGTGCTGGCCAGTCTACCGCAGAGCTTTATATTCCACCTGGAGGAGCACCCCGAGGTTAAGGGGTCAGTTAAATCACCACTTCTCTTATCTATCTTATCTTAACGTTATACCTTATTTTTGACGTGATAACGTCTTTTCAATCGATGAACACCGGCTGCAAGTACGAAAAAGTGTTACGTCATGTCACGAGTTAGTTCAACGTTCCGCGGTGTGTGTGAGGTGAGGTGGAGCGGTTCCTTCGAACCCTTGTTAACAAAAACAACGATGGAAAAACATCACAAATAGAAATCCATAAAAATACAGCAAAAGCGATGGTGGCCTATTTTAGGCTTCTACGGTGAATTCTAAAATTATTTCTCCCATAGTAGTTATAGGTTCCCATTAGGATAAACAGATGGCAACATAGACAAATGCACTCAGATATTATTATAGGTGTTATGCTGGGGCCGCACCTGAGTGTTCATCTATTTATAGTACCATGTTTCTTGTAAATAAATAAATAAATGTATGATATGAAATTCAATGTATCGCGACAAAGCTTCGTGCTATGATGACACGATACGAGCCGATGCGAACACTCATTGTCGCCTATCGTGGCGAACATTCGGGCTGCGAGTGCGTTATCGCTCAGGAGACGGTACGTCACAGGATTTTAGCGCGCCTACATTGTATATTTCTCTGCGTGGTCAGACCAGCGTTGTTCATTTAGGCGGTTGAGCCCAACTAGTTCAGAAGCATGCGGGTGGATAATTATCTATACGATATCTTTATAATAAAATGTAGTGGATTGTTGAAATTGTCCTGGAATTTCTCCATAATTATGAAACTTTCAGATTTTAATAAATGCAATATGTAAGAGGGCTAGGCATAGCAGATTTGCCGCTCGAATTGGAGCGCCCGTCTGGGGAAGTTACCTTCACCTTACAGAAGATAAAATACAGATAAGAAACAGTAAAATGACACTACCTTTTGATGGTCTTGTATTTCCGACGGTAAGGTGGCAGGGATATTTTTGTTATCGCAAGCGTCTATAGTCTATTCACTTGGCGTGAGACAAAATGTAAACAAAGAATCTGAGGTTCTAAAACTTTTATAATATCAGAAAGTACCCACAGTCAATGATTACGTATAATCAGAATCATAATCAATCAATCAAATCAATTTATGTTACCTTTAATTTATTAACAACTTTAAACTTAAACAGAAAAAAATAACAACAAACTCAACAAATAAAACAAGTAGGAAATAACAAGAATTTAACAAATAATTATGATAGAATGTGCACGCTCGCGTCAACAGGTTGATCGGGAAGGTAAAGATGGCTAACGTAAATCAACCGATTACAAAACACAACACTTCAACGTAAAATACTTATATCATGTCTACTCTTAAATTTTATTGTATTATAATAAGTCTTAAGTTTGGGAATGATTGTGTTTTTAGGTCTTTTTCCATGTCGACTTAAGTTGTTAAAATACTTTTATCAGCAAAATAAAAATATACGAATTTATGATGAGTACCTATGTACATTAAATATGTGCGAAATATTTTATTTTCTTGGTCATATGTATGTACCAGCTTTAAAATAATTACTTAATGTTTCTCTGCGTTTACTATGTAAATAGTATTTAATCTTTACTTTTGTCAAACGTGACCTTAAAAAGTATCCTTTTTATGGTTTGTTTACATTTTGTCTCACGCCAATGTGAATAGGCTATAGATAGGCTATGGTGGCCGTTTACCATCAGTCAAGTCATACACTTGTTTGCCACTCTTATCACATAATAATAATTGTTAGCATGTGTAGAACTAAAGAAAGTCGTTGTCCATAGTTGAACGTCTGGAAATGATTACGGCCATCTGGGTATATTGCGCGATAGTTAGCGCAAAATATAAAAGCTTATAATGTGACCAGAAATGTGTTAATGCAGGCTTTACCGCGATAATTTTTAATTATATTTTTTGTCATAGCGTATGCAGTTTCGGCACGAATTACTTCGGGACAATATACGCAGATGCGACCGAAGCATTGTATTGTTTTATTAGATCTGTAAAGGAATCCAAACATAGCTAATAATTATGAGATTATTTAGTGATGATGATTGGCAACACTGCTTCTTATCGCTTACACCCAATAAGAAGAACGTAACGTAGTCCACTCAATTAAATATTTACCCATTTGTTTAATACAAACAACATTATATGAAAACAAAAATAAATTAATCTTAATAACATTACTCGCCATGGAAATGACTCAAGATACTGGTAAATCCGAGCATTAGTGTGGGCTACGCAAACAACACAATACATAATTATAACACACATCTAAGGCGATAATATTAATGTTGTTTTGTTGTAGCAGAATAGTAACATTCTATAATTCAAAACAGAATTCTCACTACTAAAATTTGGAACTGCGTAAATAATTTACTTCAACATCTCTTCCTAATTAATAGTGTCATTAATGAAATTTAAGTACCTACCTAAGCACGTTCTGATTAAGTCCATGTACATTTTAATTCTTGGATTCACTAATTAAATTTGGAAGATTTAAACTCGTGTTGTACATCAATTTTATTAATTATAATTAACTAACAAGTCCTCTTCGGAAAATGTTGTAATTGTAATGGATCAATCGTAACATCTTTGGTTAAGTAATGACTAATTCAAATTCAAATCATTTATTATTTGGACAACATAGATCCATGTGTTAGTATACAATACTTAATACTATGTTAATAAATTATATTAAAAACCGATATAACCCCATTTACAAAAAAAATAATCAGTGGACAGTCCCCACGATCAACTAAATCCCTCACAATACTGCTGCGGCCACCGCGAACCCGCTGGAGCAATGAACCTGCTTTTTTGCGCAAAAGAGCCGAGAAACACTCGACCTGCGCATTTGCACACATTCCCGAAGCACTACAATATCGCGGCAGCCGCAGCAGTGCCCTGAAGGCATTATATAAACCACACCCCTTTAATTTATCCCACAGAATACTGTAGTCAACCAGATCGAAAGCCCTGGATAGGTCTAAAAACAGTCGTACACAGGCGTTTTTCTATCCGTGTAGTACCTGATGGCGTGCTTGAGAGTCCATATTGCACTCTCCGTAGATAGACCCGGCCTAAAGCCAAACTGAAGATCGTGGATGTTTAGACATTTACTCAGTTGAGAATCAAGTACCCCATCAAACACCTTAGCCACTATTGTTGCCAATGTAATTGACCTGTAATTTAATCTAGATGACATATCTCCAGTTTTATTTTTCAAAATAGGGACCACTACAGACTTCATCAATTTTTGTGGAAAATAACAATGTACCAAACAGATGTTAAATAAAAGCGCCAGCATATAAGTGCGGTCCCGCGTTTCGTAACAAAATACCTTCATTGAACTTTTAACAAGCATGTGAGACAAAAAAAATATTTCTTACATTTTTCGTGAACCTGAGTATTGTTTTCTAGTTCATAAAATTGTCTTTAGATGTAAGAAAAAGCTAGCTTAAACTAAACAATATTTGACTCGATTACACGTGGTCTTCAGCCCGTATCCGGGTGCACGAAAGACATTACTCGAATTCGGGCACCCGAAGGAATATTTACACTGGAATACGGACTGGAAGACGGTGACGGGTAACTAAAACTAACCGAATACGGGCGTAATCCACTCCATTAATTTACACTAGTCGTTTACCCGAGTTTCCATTGGCAATCGTATTCGGGCTAACAAGTGCAATTGGTTGCGTTGTTTCATTATAAATAATGCCACGTCAAATAAATAAAAATGTGTCAAATTTGTCAATTTAAGAAAAAATGGGCTAAGCCATTATTTCCACTTTTCGTTTGACATTGAATGCGAAGAGATGACGCTAATAAATATCGGGATGGGGTTCGAAATTATGTGCCAGTTCACGCTTGACAGTTCTTTATTCACCACACAGTTCACACAATGCTAATTACAAAACACTCACTAAACACTGTATTTCACTATACAAGTCTCTAAACAATCTCACTTGAACACTTTTGTTGCATTTTGATCGCCTTTGGATTCGCTCCGAAATCGCTGTTGAAACTCAACTGTCTTTGCGCGTTTTTTTTTTTTTTTTTTGATTCCTCCCAGGAGGGGGAGCGGGTGTGAAATCCTCATGGATACCTTACAGCCGGCTGCAAGGTTATGTCAGACTCTTACTGACTAAAACACACCCGTAGTTCATGCTTATGGCCTGAAGGGCCTTACAAGCTTCATCTGAAGCGATTATCCCCTGAGAGGGGGATAATGCAGCGCTGCGCTAGTTTAAACTATTACATAGTTTAAAATAACGCATAATGCGCTAATGGACGGGTGCACTCAGACGTGCACTCGAAACGGAGGGGGACTGAGCGGCAGCGGGCCTCTCAGTGTCGGGGGGGCGGGTCTTTGCGCGGCGCCAATCGCGCTTATATACGCCGATCGACGCATTCTAGAAAGTACCTGTTAAATTGAGAATTACCTAGCACCTGCGAGTACGAAATACCTACCTATACCTACGCAGGCAACACGCATAACTTGTAAACAAGTGCAGATCGTTGCACTTTCACCCTTAAGCCGCACTGCATAAGGCTCATTTTAGAATGATCCGCATTACTTGATCTCTATCGCGACCCGCGGTGATCTGGCAAATTCGATTTCTGGCACTTTCGCGGTTACGTTTCGAGAGCGTTTGTGACAATATAATAGAGGAAATTCGACATGGCCAGTAGGGCCGCGCTAGTATAATTAGTCTGTGCTTCCGCCCAGGTAGCGGAGGGTGCAGGTTCGAGTCCCGTCTGCTGCCTGGTCCACGTGGATTTTTTTCGCTATGCTATAGCTTCACCATCACTTAACATCAGGTGGGGTGGAGTCATTTGTTTGATCTATCAATAAAAAAAAACGAAGGACGTTGTTTCTTTTAATCTGACACTTATCCGATTCTTTACATTTTAATAAATATGTTTTTTTGTTTCTTTCACAGGTACTACCAATGCGTGTCATACGGGTCGCTGCCTACCGAGCGGCATGAGTTCGCGTACTTCCTAGTCAATATGCTGCTAATGTACGTCGCCCCGCTGGTGTCCACACTCTACTGCTCCTCCGCCGCACTCCTCGAAATCATACGGAGAGCCAATACCTCCAATGGTGAGGGAAAACGTTGTTACATCCTCGTAATTGGGGTATCTTACATTGATCTATATTATCGCGACTAGGATCGCAATACCAATAGTTGTTGCGGCGACACCGCGATACTGCATATTACCGGTATATCGTGATATTATTGATAGTGAAATATACCACATTGTGGTCTCGGGTCTCACAGTGCCATTTGTCTATTGTGTAAGAACACTCATTTTTTTACCGCGGGATCCGCGGTGTGATTAGAAATAAAAATACTACTTCCAGATTATTAAACCTATTCCCTTACACTCTTACGCCCATCCTTTAAACCTTTTATTTATTTTCTGTTTCGTTTCCTTGCCTCTCATCTTCTTTCGCTTCTTACTATTATTAAACCGTCCTCTCCTCTCCCTGTCTTTCCCACCCATTCGACCTCCCTGGCTGCATCTCGACGCGGCCTCGGATTCTGATGGGGTTACTCTACCAACTATCGAATCCTCTACATCACAATTATGTTGTATTCATCAACTTAAACTGTAATAAATAAATAAGTGTTTAAAAAAAATACCTCGGATTTCGCGGTTAAAAGTGAGTTTGTTCTTACAGAATAGCACTGCTGATGTTATTTCGGGCCCCATGCTGTATTTCAAACTTTTCTGAACACAGTTCAAATTCTCATCATTTGAGTCCTTGCGTGAGAAAAAAGAAATTGTATGAGGCTTGATAATTGTTCTTCTTCATGTGCTGCATGAACATTTGAATAAAAAGAGAAATGATATAAGTCGTAGATTCAAACGGATTTGACTCAATAATTTCTTCATCGCGGTCCGCCATGTAGTTTGCTTATCAATATGTGCGCACGTCCGGCGCGGGCGCTGTCTTAAGAGCAAGAGAGCTCCTCGATCAAACGCACTACTGACAGATACGAAGTTGACATTGACAACGTCACTCACGTCATTCAGTTACGTCACAGACAAAAGTGTTGCCAACAGAATAAATTAATAACACCTATGGTCTAAAGAAAATATAACTAGAAAAAATTCCACGCGGACCAGGCAGCAGACGGGACTCGAACCCGCACCCTTCGCAATCCGGGCGAATGCACTGACCAATTATGCTACCGCGGCCCTCACGGACCGCGTCGAAATTCCTTCTAGCTGTTCTTAAGCTGCAAGGCAGCGCCATCTCTTCGCATTATAGGAAAACCCACAATGTCAGATGAATACTTTTACAAGTATTAAACATTTGAAAGAAGAAATAGCAATTATAGTTATAATTTTTATTATTTTTAAAGCATGTAACTGCTTGATGTTTAAATCTAAAGAAAATATAACTAGAAAAAATTCCACGCGGACCAGGCAGCAGACGGGACTCGAACCCGCACTCTTCGCAATCCGGGCGAATGCACTGACCAATTATGCTACCGCGGCCCTCACTTTAGATTTAAACATCAAGCAGTTACATGCTTTAAAAATAATAAAAATTATAACACCTATGGTGTTATAATATATCTCTGACACGGCCATTCTGCTCATCAACGCACTCTCGCGTTGCTTCTTAGTACCATGCCCACATTAGGTGAAAGTAGCAAAGACAAGCGTTCCTAGAAACTCAATTGATCCAATAAAATACGAAGCAAAGCGATAAAGCTTTCAACCTCAATCAAAGTTCAGCACATGATTTATTATTGTTTTTTTTAACTCGAACAGGATCGCAAAGGGTTCTAGCTTTCAACATTACTTAAATGCCAATTTGTGATTGAACTTTAGGCATTCCGCAAAGCGTTAAAGCTTTCAGCATTCTTCTAGAGTCAACTTCTAGATGAATATTATTGCAAAGCGTTGTGGCTTTCAGCAGTCCTTCTGGATAGAACGAAAAAGCTTTCAATCTCCAGCAAAGCGTTACAGCTTTTAGCCCTCAATAAAATAATTTCATAAATCAACATACCATAAGCAGTTTATATTAACAAACAATCAGCCAATATGACAAAGCAGAATAATTGCTGCGAAGAAAGAAACATAAAAATAAATCAAATAAAACAATGATGATAATGATGAATACTGAATCTTTGTATCGGTAAGATTAATTAGATTTACGGTATCAAGACTTTCGGACGATTCCGGTAATTTGGATTTACGATTTACGCAACCGTTCATGACACACGTACTGACTGCGTCCTTCAGATATTGGCTCAACCATATAACGTTTATTCTGGCAGACTTTTGTGATTTTACAGAGACCATTAAATTTTTCACTCAAGGTTTTGAATATGCGAGGATTCTTCTATACTAAAACTAAAACTAAATTGCCAACTACAAAAGGGCGAATCTCAGTCTTTTTGGCATCGTCACGTAATTTATTATTTATCGCTTGTTCGTCCATCCTACCATTTACTGCCCGTTGGCCCGACTGATCCCAATGGCGATTTCGTGGAATTCAATAGATTATTTTATACAAAGATTTTGGAACTCTTGCCCCGTAAATAAAGTACCTTAGTCTGAAAAAAATCGCCTTGGTGTGCAAAAATGTAATCAAAGTTTCTAAGAACTTCGGAAGCAGATCGCGACGTTGAGTCTTTGACGGCGGATAAATTACAAAATTTCGTTAAAGCATCGATTATGACCATTACGTATTCTTTAGTAACTCTTCCACCAGTTAGTTAGTTTACCATTAGACTAGTGTCTATATGGATCGTGTGGAATGGCTCTGCAATTTTATCTATCGGATGTTAAGCTGAAGTGATCGAAATATGCCCTGATGGAATAAGTCATATTAGGGAACCAGAAATATTCTCGTATCTTGATAAAAGTTTTATCGCAAACAAGATGTTTTAATTCATCGTGAAATTTCTGAATTTTTTGTTTTGTAAATTGCAAATTTGTTTTACATTTCTCTATTATAGATCGCAACATATCTGTATCACAAACCTTAAGCAGGTCAGTATTAAGATGGTTAAATTCTACGATTCCACTCTCAATATCACTCTATTTTAAAGCCGTAACTGCTGAGGGTAAAAACCAAGCCAGGAGTCTTTAACATTACTCTTCCTAAGATTACGTCATGCGCAAGTATGTGAGTTAATGACAACAAAAGTTACTTCAGTATGAATTCCTTCAATTTTTTTTGGAATGAGAAACGTGGTACAAAGCATTGGCTTTGTCACTTTGACAAGTATTGACTTGTCAGATGGGTCAATGAGATTTCTTTCTTGTCTATCAGTTATTTCCCTTAAAATAAGGGAGTACTCCGAACCACTATCAATTAAAGCTTGTAGGTTAAAGCCACCTACCGGTAATTCAATCCAACAATCATTGGAGGGTAAACAAACATTAACTGATTATGATTGCAACTTAGAATCTTTCAATTCTTTAGACTTTACATTACGTTGTTTTTTAAAACAGGTTGTTTCGGAGTGCCCAGGTTTATGACAATAAGAACATTGCACTGGATTATTGTTAGATTTATAAACAGAAACTCGAGGTTGCGCGCTACCCTCGCTTTTATCTTTATTACGCAATAATAAGCAAGGACGTTTTAAATGTCCTATCTTATTATGGCAGCGCTGATCATTAAATTTTTCGTTAACTTTAGAACTTTTAATTTGAGAAGCTACAGATTCATTTCCCGTTTTATCAAAAGATTAATACTAGGAAAAGTGCTTAAATGTCTATGAAGTGCAATAAAATTGGTCGGGGTATTTTTTAATAAATTGGAACGTACCTGAGAATCTGTGATACCAGAAATCATAACCTCAATTTTCTTTACCTCTCCCTAACCAGTCTCCAGTCGATCTATCAGCGCCAGCTTGTTGGTGGAATACACGACGTAAGTAAACGCCTGGTCGCTCTTGTACTCCACCATATCGTGAAACAGGTCATGGAATCTCTTCACTGCAGCAAACTGCCGAGTAAGTCGCTCCTTCAACTCTTCCCAGTTCTTGCACAAAGGATAAGTACGCGCTGCCCACTTCTTTGCACGTGCTTATAAGTGAGTGAACACATCATTCCTGGTTTCATAATAGGTCCAAAAATTGTTTTTTCTATGATGCTCCAATTTTTCACACCACTGTACTGCAGTAAATTGACAGTCATTTGGACCAAACGATTGCAGGTAAATTTCACTCGCCTTTAGCTTTCTTGGTTCAGCGGTGCTCATGGAAGTTCGTTGGTAAGAGTTCTGAAAACCCGCAATCATATTTTGAAAAAATGCGGCCTACGTGTCTGCATTAGGTGCGCCATTTTAGATAGGCGGTCTACCCGCATTAATTTCTTGATCTTTATATCCGGGCGTGAAATATTCTTGATTTCTAGTAGCAGGCATCACGGTGGACTCGTGGGATGTTTGTTGAAGATATCCCACCGCTGCTGCCGTAGATTCACCGGATTTGACTCAATAATTTCTTCATCGCGGTCCGAAATGTTGTTTGTTTATCGATCAGGGCGCACGTCCGGCGCGGGCGCTGTCTCAAGAGCAAGAGAGCTCCTCGATCAAACGCACTACTGACAGATACGAAGTTGACACTGACATTGACAATGTCACTCACATCATTCAGTACGTCACAGACAAAAGTGTTGCCAACAGAATAAATAAATAACACCATAATCTCTAACATATACAGGGCGTCCCACGGCTACCTCACACGGAGGGAAAGTATATTAAATATTGAAGATAGGATATTTTACTGAAAGGAGACATCGTTTTATTTTTAATAATAACTCGAACTGTATTCACAGATTTTTAAAAATCGCCTGCTACAACTGGGAATCAAACTCGTGAAATTTCGAAAAAATAAACACATCATATTTTATGATAACCATCGAAAGGGTTAATCATAAGGATTATTTTTTGCTAAATAACATAGCATTTTAAATGCGCCTTCCTCATCGGATTCTTTTGTTTTCATTACTGTACCGAATCAGATTTTTTTACCGAGAACCACTAAACGGCTCTGTTTCAGAGCGGTATCGTTTCATTTTGTTTGCTATGGTTTTGTTTTAATGGAGTAACGGGACGGACGAGTCAAATGGTTCGGCAGTACTCGGCATCAATCGGTACAGAGAGCTGTGTATCGGATACACTGTATCCGCTTCCTAAAGAATACGTACCGAAACGACTCAGTTAGGAAACTCTTATTAATTACATGCACTCGGTAAAGAATCTCTACAGATTCGATACAGAAACGAAAACAAAACTAGCCCGCACCGAACCAGTGAGGTATAATGCGATTCAACTAAAAATAGGACCGACTAGGCGCCATATTGTAACGTCATAGCTGTCAATTCAAACCAAATAGGTAGAGTGTGCAAAAAAAGTGCTTATTTAATAAAACTCGTTTACTCAAATTAAGTGAGAAAAACATCAGAGTTTTTAAATAAAATTTATTTACTATGATTGAGAAAAAAATACAACCGATTTTTAATAATATTTATTTATTAAGTCTGTGTGTGAAAAAACATTAATCAGAATCTAGCTCCTCAATTCCGCTCATCTCTACATTACCGCCGGAGTATTTAGGAATAATAATGCACTATTACTAGTTCTAGAATTAGCTGAGTGCTAAAAAAGGTTTCAAGATTTTTTGCAAACCGTATTTTTCAAGCGACATTTGACAGATGGAGGTCATTGGCTTTCCTATTCTTATTTGAATCGCACTATAGGCGTCTTAATTGGGTTGATATTGTAATCTGATATTATCAATACTTACACGAGCTTATAGACCCATGTTTGTCACTCTAATAGATACAGGTACTGGTTATACATAACCCTATTAAATAATATATTTGCGCGCTGTTCTCTGTGTATACCTCATCCGAGATATGGCTTGTGTAACGTTGTATAAATATATTTCATAGAATTCGATGGTGTAGTGGTTAGCGCATTCGGTTCGTTCTGATCATAGATATGTGCCATCAGTGGCTAGTCAAACAATTGATGACCAAAAATTTACGATCACGAGTTCCTCCGAGCTTCGGAAAGCACGTAAAGCCGTTGGTCCTGGTTACATCTGTAGTCGTTAGCACCCACCAACCCACACTGGGAGGGTGTGGTCGGCCATAGCCCAATCACCATTTTCTATACATAGGGAATTCCTGTGTGCCAACAATTAGAGCATTAATAGACTGATGACGATGATTGAACAAAACCTTATCTGATAAAAAATGAAATAAAAAAATTTTGGTCACCTATCCAATGATTGGCCATTGTGAAAGTTCAGTGACCGTGATCAAGCCTAGATGATTCCACGATTACAGACTAAACGCGCCAACCACTCGCCAATAAAATATTTACACTCATACCAATTAGCCTAGCCCCAAAGTAAGCACGGGGCTTGTGTTAAGGGTTGCTAGTCTAACCGATAGAATACATATACCGACACATTAAGACCGACATTTAAGTATATTTTATCTAGAAATATAGTATTCTTAAATAACAGAAGCGTTATTAATTTTGTAAATAGACTAACGAAAATAACCTATCAGTCTCATTTATGATAACACTTTATGCAACTATGAAATAAATCCACTACAGAACACATCCGCTCCGCTCGAGCGCCAGCAGCCAATTGATAAAATACACTAGAGCGCACGTCCGTCCAGTGCGAGCGCCTGCGGTGAAGTGAACACGCCGTTTTTTTCTGTTTCCTCCCAGGCGGGGGAACGGGTGTGAAATCTCATGGACTCATCTCTAACTAAAACACACCCGTAGTTCATGGTGATGGCCGGAAGGGCCTTACAAGCTTTATCTGAAGAGTTCATCCCCTGAGAGGGGGATGATGCAGAGCTGCATTAGTTTAAACTAATGCATAGTTTATAATAACGCATAAGGGTGCGGCCAGAGTGCACTCAGATTCAGATTCAGATTCAGATTTCGAAAACAAGCGCGAGGAATAAACAGTGTAGTCGAAGGGTACGGCCAGATTGCACTCCTGATTCAGATTCAGATTCAGACTCAGAAAACAAAGCGCGAGAAAAAGCAGGCAACCTACTTAGACTACACTGTTTATTTCTTGCGCTTGTTTTCAGAATCTGAATCTGACTCTGAATCTGAGTGCACTCTGGCCGCACCCTAATGCGCTAGAGGATGGGTGCACTGAGATGTGTACTCGAAACTAAAGGGGACTGGGGACTTACTTACACCGCCTGACGCCGCCTTAAAGTAGCGTTGCTCGGTCTGGATGCATAGTGAGGGAAGACTTGTAACAGTATATATAAACATCCATGACTAAGGTACAAATGTTCGAATTCATCATATTAACATTTTCCTCCGCCGGGATTCGAATCTGGGACCTCTGAGAAGGCGACGCCATGAAACCCGGCGCATATACCACTCGGCCACGGAGGTCGTTGGTAATTGGTTAATAATATCTCGGTATTTGTGTTCATTAGACAGAATGCGTCGCAGCGGAGTGGGCATCTTGGGCAGGGCTCGCGCGCGCACTCTCAAGATGACAGTCACCATTGTTCTGGTGTTCTTCACCTGCTGGTCGCCTTACTACTGCTACTGTTTGTGGTGAGTATATCCTACTGAAATACTTTATTTTTTATGTTGCCAGGGTGGCAAACAATCGTATGACCCGTTTGATGGTAAGCGGCCACCGTATTCTATAGGCGCTTGCTATACAAAAAATATCAAGCCGTTGCTTACCCTGACCCAAAAACACAACCCCACCATAAGGTAGTGTTATTTTACTGTGGTCTTCTATAAATTGAAACATTCTCGATATCTATACATTGTTTTAAACTGTCATGGTCGCTAACATTATAGTTATTTATATTTTTTCGGCGCTGCTGCAAGCGCCATGATCACGGAGTATCTAAAGTAATTGCGGGTAGGCTGTTATTGGCAGACATTGGTCCACCCTCAGACGAAGTCTTTTATTGCGTTCGATACCCGTACCACTATTCACATTCTACTACATAAAACTATTGGGAATTTTTTTTCGTAACTGTAGGTACCAACTGGACAAAAGCCAGTGTGAGTTATACCAAATTCATCTAAAGTGCAGTGAAACTCTTTCGACAAGTGACTTTGATATTTGCGATCATGTTACCTACTTATGAGCTCAACGTATCAGGGAACTAGGCGCCATGAAACAAGGTCGTAAGTTCGAGTTGTTGTTATCAAAACAAAAGCCAAATTATTCCATACCACGGGAGCTCACTACCGACTCAAACGGTATTCAATATGTCGAGTATTGAGTAGCCCGACGCTGCACAGTCTGTTATTAAAAGAGGTATGAATTATGATGATGCCATTAAACCTTGACGTATTCCCTATGAGGAAGTGATTGGATCTGTTGAAGAGGATGCTGGATGAGGATTCCCATGAGGAAGCAGGAGATGCGGATACGCTCAGGCAAAATGTTGCTGTAGTGTTACGTCATGCGAGACCACCAAGACCGAATATTACTTCTTCCGAATCAGTTGCCTTGAAAAATTTTCGCAAGAACAAGAATATAGTAGTACTAAAAGCTGATAAAGAGAATGCGACAGTCATAATGACTATCAGTGAGTATGAAAACGAATTCCATAGTCTACTCACTGACGAACACATATACGAGAATAAATGTGAATTACAAACCAACGGCGAGGACAGTTCGTTACACTCGCTCACTCATAAAAGAATGCGCCTACGCTTTAGACGATGACATTGTCAAATATTTGCTACGTCCTAGGAACATCCAGCCTCCAAAACTATATGGTCTGCCGAAAATGCATAAACCGAATGTGCCCCTACGTCCGATCGTGAGTCAGATAGACTAAACTACATATAAACTGGTCAAGCACGTGGCGATAGTGGGACGAATGTCATCGTTTACAAAGGATTCCCGCCATTTCATAGAAATCTTGCACCAAAACAAGGTAGATAAAAATCAATTGATACTTTATTTATTTAAACTTCATTGTCATACATATGCAAACGGCGGACTTAATGCCATAGGCATTCTCTACCAGTCAACTTGAACGAGTGTTAGAGACAAATGGTATGGCGATAGGGCAAAATGATGATTTATAATAAAACTTGATACACCTACTTAAACTACTCAAATAAAATACATAAAAAAATATGTACATACATAGAATACAATAAATATAATATAAATAGATGCAAACTATAAATGATAACAAAAAAAAATTAGATTACGTAGTCAGTTCAGGTCAGGAAGATAGTCAGTTTTGACGTGGAATCGCTGTTCACAAATGTACCCGTTTTGGATTGAGATGATTTGATTTTAAGATGGTACACGCCTGCCTAGAAGAATGAATGTGATGTTTCAAGAAAAAAACATCCAAGGAATAAACCAAGTTATTGGCATCATTGATTGTTGACGAATTTCTTTCGTCAGTTCTACCTCCAAATAGATGGGGTCACAATTGGCAGTCTCGTAGCTCCTGTGGTTGCCAATGTATGGATAAAGCATTTTAAAGCAGAAGCCTTTATCACCACACCCACAGAAATAAAACTATGGAAGAGGTATGTCAATGACGTATTTTGTATATTAAGAGGTAACAAAGATGATGTTGAGCAAATTTAAATGGAATACATTCCAAAATTTACTTCACCTATAAGATGAAGACAGAAGTCTGGCCTTTCTGAATGTGAAGATTCGGGTGTGGAATGACGGACACCTGGTTCTGGTCCTAACCACTGGATTGAGTTCCATAACCCACAGATTATCTCGACAGGATGCCACTACATACCGAGATTGGTGAGGGAAGCGATTGAAATAACAAAGCAAAAATTTCAATCATGAGGACGGGTTTAAATTGTGGAGTGTCTGGAATCTTGTCGTTCGTTTGTATAAAGACCGGAATAATCAAAAAAGTGTCGTGTCGCGATCCGTTACTGTAAGTGTTATGTTTCAAGAATAGTTTCGAGTGAATAGTGAGAGTGTAAACAGTGGTACGGGTATTGAACGCAATAAAAGTCTTCGATATGCCTGCCTACCCGCATCTCGAAATCTTTCCATTGACTTCTCTTATCAAAGTATCTTTATTGTATCTCTATGAAGATATTTTGTTAAATACTCAGCCACAGATCAGTTTTGCTAACACCCTTAACTCATTAAATATTACTATTATAATTGAGAAAAAATATCAGCTTGATATAATTGCCTTAATTGCCATTCATTCCATTATTCTAGGTTTTGGATAGACAAAGAGAAGCTAAAAACGTTGGATCCGGCGCTGCAGAAAGCCATGTGGCTGTTCTCATGCACAAACTCGTGCGCAAACCCCATCGTGTACGGGGTGTTCAACCGCAACCGATGGACGTGGAGATCAGGACCTGTGAGTAACTTCAGAGTCGTTAGCCTTCTAATATATCTAAAAGACAAGCTTTTTCAATGGGTAAAATCATGAAACTCCCACCGCGCAGGCCCTGACACGATTTGTGGGTGCTAATGGCTGCAAGTAAGGAGCTCGATGGCGCAGGTGGTTAGCGCGTTCGGCTTGCGATTGTGGAAGTTAAACAATTTTCACAATGGTCGGTAATTACACATAGGTGACCAAAACTTATTATATCGAGATCCTCCGTGCTGCGGAAGGCACGTTAAGCCGTTGTTGTCGGCTGCATCCATATTTGTTAGCATCCACCAATCCGCACTGGTGATTAAGAATCTATTTTTCTTAAGAGAAATTCCAGTTTTGCTCTTTTATAATCAATGGGACTTATTTTTGAATCACTACTTTAGCTGTCACCCTAAGGTCCGTTGATGGAGGTGGAGATGGATGGAAAATGGAAAGCGTCAATGGTACGGACCCGCGAGAAAGATTTTATCTCAGTATAAGCGTTTCTCCTGTAGCTAGACCATTACGATGCACCATTACGTTAGGACCTAGAATAGAAATAGCTTCAATAATGTTCTGTCCATCAATAAAGTTTTACCATCCTTATGATTTCATAAAGTATTTATTATTTTTAAGCTTAATTACGTTAACTTCGATTTAGTTTTTGTTTCTGCAATATCAAATCCAGGATTCATTTCTATTCAGAACGCAAGGTGCCGCAGTCGAAGTATGAGGAGAGGCTCTAGACTACCCTACTACGGGGAGTCCATGGAGATATCGGCCGCGACGTTAGCGCGCGCGCGCAGCTCTCTGGTCGAACGCAACGACAGCAAGGACTCACACAACGGCAATGTGAAGCACATCAACAATAACCACGTCGGCAATGGAATAGTGTAACGAAGCTTACGAAAAAAAAACATATCCGACATACACGCAAAAAGGTTTACCGCATAATTGCTTTCTGCGAAACGCAACGATGCGTAAAGCGTGGGCCACATTGGAAGCGAAACAAGCTTATGTAATGTTATTATTAAACTTAAGCGGAACGATCTATCCTATTGTCAAAAGTACCTAACCCAAATTTGAAAGGAACGAAAAGTTATTAGCGCTTCTCTCCCATTGTTGCCTACGCTTAACGAGGGAGGATATTTGCAAACATTTCAACAGTGTTGTTGAATTGCAGCGTGTTTATGCAGATATTACTAAGAATCAAAATAACAATTTCTTAATGTAAGTAGGTTTCGTTGTACAATTATTTGTACATACGTTTGAAAAGGCGCCATCAGATTGTGATTTTGAATTGTGTGTGATAAAAAAAATGGCGATGTTTATGTGTGAACAAATGCCTTAAGTTGAAGGGCAAGACTATAAATCCCGTGATGAGAGCTCCAATGTAAATTAAAATTTTGTTTTCGTTTTTTTTTACCGTGACATTAAACAACAAAAGAAGGAATTTGAAGATACTCATGGTTTTTAAACTAGATTGCTTAAAAGTGCTCTAGAGACAGAAATGTTGAAAGAAATGAACATGACAGGGAATTAAATTTGTTAGTACTTAGAATAATAAATAAAATATCAAAGAATGGAAGGGGAGAGGAAGCCTGCAAGAGAAATAGGGAGTCTGTGATATGAATAAAAGAGATGATGACAGGGTAAAGTAAACAAAACTCTATTTAGTCCGTAAGATAGATTATCAAAAAATAACGGACATATTATTCATAATGGACGTAAATTATTCATTGTCATCGTCACTTCTAAGTTCAAATAGTACCAAGACGTGGCGTGATACGACATTTCAAATCAATATAGGAGGTATCTCTGTAACGTTTTGATTATGTGAATAAATAAAAATACGTGTCCAATACTTTTTGATAATAAATAATAAAAGAAGAAAAAAGTTAGTCATCATCACTGCATTTGTAGGTGGCTGAGGATATTAGGAAAAGCAAGAGAAAGCTTCAGAACTTTGTCGAGCCCAAAAGTAAATTGGGACCAGAGAAAAAGAAGGATGTGAAAAAAAATACTCCCAAAAGTTTAATTAGGTACTTTGTCTGTACTATATATCTGGTGGTGACTGTATTCAATGTATGATTTGGCTCTTCGTTCGTTTGTAAGACAAATTTTACTAAAAAGCAAAGTACATACAGGCTTGGATCGTTCGCTATATTACGAATACAATTATTGTTAATTGTATAGAATGTAAAAATAAGGTAACGATACACTGTAAGCAAAAGGAGAAATTAATAAATAATTGTAGTTATAGATCATGAGTTCTACGCACAAATATTTTGTATAAATTGTATAAATAACAGAAATTTATTATTGAACTAAATTTAATAAGAAGTACAGGGGTCCAGAACATAGCTTATTTTCATTTAATAAACAATGACTAGAGCACTCTGCATATATTCATGTGGAAACACATAACTTAATACTTTTCTTGTTTATGTAAAGGAACGAGATCTTGTACAGTTAGCACTTAGGAGTAAGGAAAAAAGTTTGTGTACACAAAACGATAAATTAGCCTACGGAATGGAAAAAAAACTCGATCTTTAATCATTTTTAGGGTCTAATAGCCTCAAGGATGTGAGGTTTGGTAAAAATCCATTTCATAAAAGTAAACAATCGATAAATGCAAAAAATCGATTTTTTTGTATTCAAAATTCAAAAAATTCAAAATTCAATATCGTTTATTCAGTCTAGGCTGTTACAAGCACTTGTGAATGTCGAAAAGCTACGCCATCGGTTCGCAAATCTACGGCGAGAGACCTTGTACTGAGAAGAACCGGCAAGAAACTCAGCAAGGGCTGTTTTTTTCTCCCTGTATTATATACAGAGTCGTCAATTTGAAAAATGAGTTCAATATGAGATAACCCATGAAGTCACTTTCCCGTTATTATTTAAAGTACATGCTTTTCATATTCAAATAATAAACCTAAGAGATTCATATCAACAATTTTTCAGATTACAAATCAAATACATAAAATTATATCAATACCAACAACCAATTCAAAACTAAAAATCAAAGAAACATTCCTTTAAAATTCCAAGGTAAGGAATTAGGAAACCAAATAGCATAATTGATAAAAAAAATAGTAAGAGTACTATTAAACATTATATTTATTATAATAAAAATGAAATGATGAGCATCCAAAAAAAATACTTAATCAACTTATACGTATGAACTTAATTCGAGATTTTTCATCCAACGCATAGATGGCGCTGTTTATAAAATTGAAACTTATTGCAAGGTTTTTGAAGTTATACTTCTTTAGCCGCGTTATGAAAAAATTATGAGAGTGAAATTTTAAGATGCGCGCGCATCACTGTAACACAAAAGTAACATAATGAAGTTAGCCTCGGGCGCGTTATGAAAAAATGATGAGAGTGAAATTTTAAGATGCGCGCGCATCACTGTAACACAATAGTAACACCATGCAGTTAGCCGCGGGCGCGTTATGAATGTTAGTGTCTAATAATGGTGGATTATTAACCACTAGTGGTTAATAATCCACCATTATTAGACATCTGTTCGAAAGCTACTTTGAACGATCCACGGAGCTCCATAAGATGATCGCGTTGTCAAAAACAATGTTGGCACGCTCGTCGCCTCTGATCACTGTTTTCATATTTATAATATTTATCCACATGTTTCTAGTTTCTATATAGACACAACGTGTTTTAGTTACTTACAAGTGCTAATTACATATGGACTAATAACTTAAATTCAGTAGTGATTTTAATTGAATATTTTGAATATTTATTTAATTTTTCAAATTAAAACTGAACTTAATTGACTGTGTTAACTATCCTTTTCCAGTCCTTTTATTATTTTATTGTAATTATTAATTATTTGCATGGAATTAAAAAATATTTTTAATGATGCTAAAGAAGTATAACTTCTCACGCGCGTACATAACATGCGTTACACGCATCCATTTTTTTTTTCATCCGTCGCTTAAATACGATGAGCTGTTTCTGAAAATCGAATTAAACACTTAATTTATATAATCGATCTACTAAAAATCTATTAATATTACTATAAAAATCGATAATAATAATCAATTAAAATAAAATAATAATCTTTAACACTTTGACTTTTGTTCTAATATTGATGAAATGTGAAATAATTTTTAATTTTGTAACAACACGAACTGGCTTTTGGGAAAATATTTTGTAAGTAGTACAAATTGACAATATTGCCTTTCATTTAACTCTAGTAGATAGATATTGAAAATAAATACTGCAAAGTATGTAATATACAAAAATGGTTCAGTTGTGTATAATTGTCGATTTAACTCTTCAGAAAATTATTTAAATTATTTAAGATTTTGTGAAGAAGGTGCACTTGCATTTAATATATTTATTTATTATATATTATGACTTGTTTGCGAAAATATGAACCTTACAATGAAGTTTTTGTATACTTAATAGTGTATATAAAGACTTTAAGCAAACTTAATGGGGAGAAAAATAAACTCCCTACCTTACATTCCTTATAAAATGATTAAATATTTTTTTACTTAGTAGTAAAGTATTTTAAACTTATGTTACATAAATAATAATGTGAAGAAATATGTTAATACTCACCTTGAGTAACTTATTTGAAGTGAATTTCTAGTTGCATATTTAAGTTGCGATTTAGTTAATGTATGCGTTTAATTTATGAAGACTGACAGACAGACTACACGTTAAGTAGTTTTTTTTATTCCAAATCATATTGTTATACTGTCACATTTTGTTTTTGTTTATCAAATATACCTAGTTTATATTATTGATTCATATTTGTAGCATAATTGCGCATCGTGGCTGTGAGGTGATAGAGGCTTTATGTCTCAAATTAAGTTAAAAGTTTATTTTGCTTATGTTAACTGAGGACGAAAGTAATTTTTAATAAATAAAATGTGAAAAATCAAGTGTTTTATTTATTTAAGTTTAGACAGGGCAAAGTACAATGTGATATTAACTAGTTCAAGGATATTGAAGATCTGTTTGATTGTTTTTCACTGTTCTTGTGACATCTCGTAAAGATTGGAGCACAAAACTTAAGTGATAAGATAATCTGTACAAATATTATAAAGAGGTAAAGTTTGTGATTCTGAAGGGGTTATCCCTGGACAGAATGAAGCGATTTTGAAAATTTGAATAGAAAGCCACGTTATTTCAGAGTGTCATAAGCTATATATTACAGCAAAAACAATATTCTACACTGAAGCGATGCAATGACGGGCTACTAGTGATATTATAAAACTAGATGGCTAATTTGGCCTGATTCTCACTCTTAGTGTTCACTTTGGGGCGCCATTTAACAGTGCTGGAACATCTTGCTGAAACACAAATTTTCTTCTTTCTATTGAAGTTAATCATGTGTGTATGGCAGATATATAGCTTTATTTTGTATAACTAAGAGTAAGCCATTACCATGACAATAAAAAACCGGCCAAGTGCGTGTCGTGCCACGCGCAGTGTAGGGTTTCGTAGTTTCCTGTAGTTACCATAATATATTTGAGCCTTCTTTGGATTTATTTTCTATATCAGAAATTAAAAAAATCAATAAATGTATCTTAACTAAAATACCTAAATCAAAGTCAAACTGCGTCTCAAACTCAATTCGATATTATATATTTTTTTTAAATACGAATGATAAACGCCGATTTTTTTTGTTTCCTCCCAAGCGAGGGAGTGGGTGTGAAATCCTCATGGATACCCTACAGCCGGCTGCAAGGTTACGTCAGACTCTTACTGACTAAAACACACCCGTAGTTCATGTTTATGGCCGAAAGGACCTTACAAGCTTCATCTGAAGCGATCATTCCTAGAGAAGGGGATGATGCAGTAAAAACGCCGACCTTTTCAAGTGCATATATACTTTTTATAAAAACGTAACGTTAGCGCGTTACTCAGAAGCCGTTGGTACTCGCGGCAGCGTTGTGGAACTAATGATATTTTATTGTGGTTTACAAATACTACTTTTTTTAAGATTTTGTTGCAATGCAATGTTTTACGCTACGAAAACATCATCTATGTCACTATTAATGTTTTCTTCAAAGGAATTTTCAATAGGTAAGAAATTTTCTTTAACCAAAATTGAACGACTATATTCTTAAACTAATAAATCTGTCTTAACCGTTAGGATAGCTTAGATAGAAAAGCACTATTATCATGAATTTTCCCAGGTTTTGTTTGTGGGTTACCTACAATGAGAAGAGATGGCGGTGCCTTGCACCCTAAGGCTAGACAAATTTCGACGCGGCCGTCAGAGCCGCGGTAGCATAGTTGGTCAGTGCATTCGCTTGGATAGCGAAGGGTGCGGGTTCGAGTCCCGTCTGCTGCCTGGTCCGTGTGGATTTTTTTCTAGTAATATTTTCTTTCGATTTAAATATCTAGCAATTGAATGCTTTAAAACATAAATAATAAAGCAATTAAGTACATATATAGCGATTAAATATTTTTATGAAACAGCACTTACTTCTCAAATAGTTCATTTTTGTCGATTTTATCTAAAGCTTTTTAAAAGACAAAATACGTCGTACATGCATCGAATTAAAACAAATCATCACACAGTATGTGTTTATTTATTTAAGATACATAACATCAATCATTAATAAATACGATAGAAAATAAAACACTTTTTGTATAGAATCATTCGGAATAAAATTTCTGTCTGAATTAAATGTCTACTAAGAAATTATAACGTGAAAAGAGTTATTTTTACTGAAAAAAGAAATATTAAGATATCAAAAAAAAAAGATAATTATATTGTTATTTATGTAAGATATTAGCGTTGTAAACAATACTAACGAAAAAAAATGTTTCATTATTAAATAGTTTATTAATAAAATACCCCAAAGTTTTATAGATAGGCATCTATTTTGTATATTCTATTCGGTAAATTTATCATAACAGACTAGAAATAAATATACATTTAAACTTTATAACATCAATTACAACATGAACATCGTTTCGAATGTCTTATCCGATTACATTTTTACGTTTTAAACTATTTCCTACATGTAAACAATCACATACCACCATCGGTAACATTGTAACATCAAAATTTTTCGAACTATTTAATTAACGTCGATATTGTAATTTATTTATTTGTAATATAATTTGATACGATGAGATTCAAACACATCAAACACTTCAAGTGTTCAAAACAAAACATCAAATGGAATGCAATATGGGCATGAATAAACTCTATATAAAAGTTATCTTACAAATCAAATTAACAAAAAGTCTTTGACTTACATAATATATTATGGCACATTACCGTTATACATCCATAAATATTCAGAGTTAAACATTCACTACCTACGAATACGCAAATGTACATTGTACATCCATACAAAAATACTTATTAGATAGATTAGGAGTACCTACTTGCTACATCTCCAGACATGTGGTTTCTCTACAAATCCAATAGAATAAAGATGAAAAATTGTACGTTTTGACATTGATTGACATTAGGTGTTGATGCTCAAAACATGAAAATGATAATAGCGATTTGATTAGTTATCTCATCCGTAATTTTGTAGCTAAAGCTATTGGGTAACAACAGGTCACAAAGTTTCTAGAATACTTGAGAAAATTGTCGAGTGTGTATATTTTTATCAAAAAGAAAACGCGAATCGAGTTTTTGTGTACAAATATATATTTTTTTTCTTATATTATTTTAAGTGCACGAGATGATGATAATCTCAAAATCCGTTCCACGACATCTCAAAATCTATTTATGTATGGCATATGATATGGCTATGAATGGTTTTGAGAAATCATGAAAAAGTTTTTAAGTACAATAGAATGTTAACCGACTTATTACATGATCACCATCTAGTGCACTTTACTACGTAATATAATGGCACATCGAGAACACACCGATACATTTTAAGCTCCTTTCCTCTCTAAAAACGTACATTAACATGAAATAGATAGATTCTAAAAACATATTATTTTTAAATCAAAATAAAATAAATATTGCACATTAGACTTTTGTAAAATGGATAAATCCCTTACACACGTTCAATAATTAAAATCTATTATAATACATTCCCTTATAAATTATTATGGTATTTATACAACATCTCTATAAAAAATGAGATTCCGTTATTTTTTTCTTACTTTTTAAACCTTTGGCCATTCTGATATGATTAATTTTACCATGCTCATGTATAGGGAAAACTTATTAGTAAATTGTTACAATCGGCAGCATAACGAGATTCACAGTACCTATCCAATTTATAAGTTAATAACGCATCGAAGAATCACAACATAAATACATTATACTATTAGACCGTTTAACGTTATTGTCCTGCACAAAATAAGGTCTTCGTTATTTGAACACAGATTTGATTAACCGTTATCACATAGGGGTACACTATAAAAGATCCGTTTAGTAAAAATTGGTCTTCAATATTTGGGTATTGGTCAATATTAGTTTGATTTTTTCTGACACATTTGTTAAGAGCTTTAGAATGTGCACCAAGCTTCGACCACTACACGGGGGGAGGCTTTTATTGCAGTGTCGTTGGACATCCGCAACGGATTTAACAGTCTCCCTCACAAGTGTATCGCGGAGGCACTTAGCTTCCACCGCGCGCCTGTGCGCCATCGTGAGGGATTGCCTGCAAAGCAGGACAGGCCCCGGTGTCACCTTTGCGACAATAGACGATACGGCCGAAAATTCCCTTTTGGAGTGCCCGGCCTGGCGCTAGTATCTGGAACCCTCTCGCTACTGCGAGACGGCTTGGGAGACGGGCGCCTCCTTCTGCAAAGGTGTCATCTCGCAGAAGGAGGCGGCCGCGAGGGAGCGGGAGGATAATTCTCAGGCCGCTCACTCCCGCCGCAGAAGGTCAGGTAGGGTACGGCGAAGGCGCGCCTTGGCGCCCACCCAGTGACCCCCCTACCTGAGTTAATCTCTCGCTGCCCGGCATGGCTTTAGCCATGCACGTCACTGACGGATTCCGTGACAGCAGCCCTCTTGTAGTTCTGTCATACATGAGAGGGCCGCGGGAGAGCTTGTTAGGGAAACGCCTAGGGAGTCTTTACGCAGCGGACGGGGAGCGGTGCGGTGGGCAATAGGCCGCGCACTTAGCTCCCAGCGCGGGCAGTCCTCCGTACGTCTGTGGATCACCCGAAGTACCCCGGGTGATCCCTGCCGCGGAGCCCTGGCTAGGCCGGGAAGCTATTCGGTTCCGCACTTAATAACATAGAGGGTATTCGCAGACTTATGAGCGCTTACGGCATACTTTCCGCTAATAGTATGCCGTACGCGCTCTTTAGGCGCGCGGACTGCTTAACAGCTTCTCCGTTTCGCACCCGTGAGATTTGCTATAGTCTAGGCGTGAGGTCCGTTCGTTAGTGTAAAGGATATACACCAAGCTTAGAAAATTTTAATTCGGTTATTTTGCAAAGTGTGATATCACATGCACCATCCTTTTTGGTCATTATTTATATTTAAACTCCTCACAGTGTAGTTACTATTCCAACTCATACAGTTGCTGTATTATTATTATGATTACCTTTAGATTCTGCAGTAATTAATATGGCATTCTAAGGCATTCCTCGTTTACTTTTTGAAGTGCATAACCTGATGACTTTACTCCATCTGATATTACACTTTAAGTGTATTTGTCTGTGGGGAGAAATTTTACTGTCACAACAGAGACGAGACGCTCAGTGGACTAAATAGCTATCATCTTATTACTTGGGAAGTGCATACAACTTCAATACCTACCTAGTAATTAAGCGAATCTTTCATAGGTACCTCGTCAGGATCTCAGCCAGCTCAGTGTTCCCCTTTCTCGACTTCGGTGAGTTCGTGCGTGTTGGCGAGCTCGCGCTCGTTGTGCTCGGCGCGGTTCTTCTCGATATCACCCTGCGAGAGGGACGAAACTATGATGGCGCCCAACGCGTCGCACACCACGTTGATCGTCGTTCGGAATCGGTCGCTGTGAAATAATAGTTGGTTAATAGGATAAAAATTTTGAATGTGAAATCTGACTGAAAAGTACCTGATATTTTGCATGGCTTATATTCAAAGTTTTTTTTTAAGACGGTGGCCTTATTAAATACATTCTATAGACACCAATGTTTTATCAAATTAATTGAAAATAAACTATTTGAACAAAAAAAATATAAAAGTCTGAACGTTTATATAGCAACAGTGTTAATTGTTAGCTAATGATCTGCAACTAAGCAACTAAAGTACTAGATAGAACTACCCGAACAATATCGTGGCCGAAACGTGTCCTAGAAGTACATTGAACGATCCACGGAGCTCCGTAATATGATCGCTTAGTCAAAAATGATAAAACATTCAAAGTCACCTTTAATGCATCGTAAACAAGGTCTTTATTCAAAAGCATGCTTCAAAAAATTACGACAGTTTTGAATGCAAGCTCGTTTTTTTTTTTACGACTTGTCGCTTTAGTTCGAAGAATATTGACTTTATTTCTTTGAGTCTACGGGACGTACTCAGCAGGCAGGTTGACGGTGTCCAACCCCGCTTGTAGGACGCCCACCGCTCTGATACTTGTCGCTGGTTTCAAAGTATACAAATCGAAACACTCACAGTAGCCAATCAACTGCGAGGATGATAGAAACATCCTCAGCAGGCAGGTTGACGGTGTCCAGCACCATCACCATGGTGACCAGCCCCGCTTGCGGGATGCCCGCCGCACCGATGCTCGCCGCCGTCGCCGTCACGCTGCGAAAATACACGTTACATTGCGATGCAAACTTTATGGCGGTTGTGAAGATATAATAATAATAATTTCTTTATTTCAGTCAATTAACCCATATGACAAAATTAATAAAAACTATATATACTCGTATTATAATAATTTATCAAATATCTAAAAAATAAAAAAGGCTATCTGAATGTGAACGTGTGAATAAACTGTCATTCCCAAAACGATGTAATTTAGTCCAATGCTTAAAAAATACATTATCCACGTCATCGTGGATGTTCCGGAGAATGGAGTTCCTACTTTCACGGAGCCTTTTCCAGAGCGAAGCGGACCACGATCTGAGGATACAAAAAAATCGGGAACATTTACTTCAGCAAACATTTCCTTCGCACTACAATTTCAGCAGGATGCGAAAGGCGTCATTGAATTAACCTCGCAGCACATTAAAGAAACGTTTTGTATATCTCAGCCAAAGATGACATGTACAAAATGTTTGGCAGTACGCCTTAAACAACATTATCTTGACGTCTCTCGTACATCCGCCAAACTGTCTTGCGAGCATATTGCACCTCACCGCAAGAGCCCTTCTCTCCCTCTCCATGTCGTCCCCATCGTTGAGCTGTTCATTTAATATATGACCAAGAAATCTGAACCTAGTTTCAACCCGAATTGGCGAACCATACAGCCACACCGGCGGAACGTTTACCGGATCTGTTCCGTTCCGAAATACAACGACTTCGGTTTTAGCAACATTATATTTCAATCCATTTTTCCCTGCATAGGACTCAAATATTGAAAGCAGCTTTCGAAGTCCATTAATCGAGCGACTCAGAAGAACCATATCGTCGGCGTAGCTCAGGTTGTTAACACATATTTTACCAACATAGCAGCCGACCCTGGATCCTCTGATTCTCTCAATCAATCCATTGACGTACAGATTAAAAAGGCCCGGAGACGTCAATCTACCTTGACGAACGCCGCAGTCTAATCTAAACTTATTAGATGTCGCATCGCCCCATCTTACAATATTGGTTAGGTTTTCGTACCAGTGCCTCAACAGGTTCACAACAGTGGGTGACACCGTCGTCTGTGTGAGTTTATGCCAGAGTAATTTATAATTAACAAGATCAAAAGCGCGGCTCAGATCTAGAAAGCACGCATAGACGGTAGTTTCTCTCTTGTTATAATAACTGACAGTGTGCTTGAGCGCTAATATGGCAGAATCCGTTGAGACACCCCTACGAAAACCAAAGTGTGCGACATTTTCAGTTCCAGTTCAATGTTGTTTACCAATTCGGGCTGCAAGATCCTGTCAAATATCTTGCCAACTATTGTACATAACGATATCGAACGATAATTATTACGATTGGATAAATCGCCTGTTCCATTTTTGGGGACAGAACCGCTACAGTCTTCATTAGTTCAACTGGAAGGTTTTTTGTTGAATGTATAATACACATATTAAACAAATCGGCTATCACCCTAAAAACTTCCATACTAGCATTAAAGGTATGTATGTTCTATGCTCAGACGATCATGCCCCGGTGATTTTCCGTGTTTCATGCTACGGACTATACGGAAAACCTCATCAGGAGTAACTTTAACTGGTAACCATGGGTTGGGATATACCTCGTATATGGTGGTTGTTCCCCATTCTCCCCAACATCCAAAAGCTCAACTCTAAAATGTTTTTCAAACAAGTTTGCAATGTCCGTCTTGTCATTGGTATTATTTATCTTACTTACTTTACTTACTAGCTGGTAAAACATTTTTATCTTCTGCCGCTTTCACCCCATTCCAAAACCTAATAAAATTGTTTCAAGCTTTACTACTTGCTTCTATTTTCATTATTCTGTGCCCATTTTAATGTGTTTTAAAAAAAAACTTCTTTGCGCCATATTATTGTAGTCAATACCATTACCCGGTCTTCCTAATTCCATCCATTGTTTAAAATATTGCCTAGCTATTTTATGACTTTCACTAACGTGAAAGTTGCATCCCAAAACTTTACGACACTTATATTTTTTATTTTTTAAGCATGTAACTCTTCCCTATCCGGGCGAAAGCACTGACCGCGGCCCTGATGGCCGCGTCGAAATTCTTCTAGCCAGTCTTAAGCTGCAAGGTAGCGCCATCTCTTCGCGTTGAAGATAACCCACAATGTCAAATGAATACTTTTACAAGTATTAAAACATTTGAAATAAGAAATAGCAATTATAGTTATAATTTTTATTTTTAAGCATGTAACATGCTTGATGTTTAAATCTTAAGAAAATATAACTAGAAAAAATCCACACGGTCCAGGCAGCAGACGGGACTCGAACCCGCACCCTTCGCTATCCGGGCGAATGCACTGACCAATTATGCTACCGCGACCCTGATGGCCCTGTCGAAATTCTTCTAGCCATTCTGTATGTATGTATTTACGATACTTTTTTAACTAACCCGACATCGAGTCGCATCATCATTGGGTAGTGGTCTGACCACGTTATGTAAATTTTTACCCACACCTCATCAACGATGACAATAGCTGACTCTGTGCTTAGACAGGGGTCCAACCATCTGTTACCTACTCCCGTTTTCACCGGCCACTCTAAGGCCTCTTGTCAACAGCCATTGTTTTACCCGACAACGGACCGGAGCAATATGTGGCAACTGATAAAACTATGGCCGTTTACTAGAGCTCTAAAAAGTGGAGTTATCTAAATACTACCTGACGGCGACAATCTTGCCGAACGACATCTCGACCTTCCTGAGCTGCGCAATAAAGATGGCCGCCACCGCCTCGTAGAGCGCTGTGCCGTCCATGTTGATGGTGGCGCCGATGGGGATGACAAACCGCGTGATGCGCGGGTCCAGCCCCATTTCGTCGCAACACCCGATCGTTATGGGCATCGTCGCTGAGCTGTAACAACAACACTTGTGTGTAAAAACTGCACGAGTGAAACCAAATCCGTCTATATAGCATTTCAGTCAAACTTGCTCCCCACTTAAGATCTTACAACCTAGTAACGCAACGTACAGATAGTTTTTGTAGTTTTGTGTTGATATTTCAATAACTTGATGATAGTAAGTACTGACCTGGACGCGGTACCGAACGCTGTGGCCATCACTTGTCCCATCTTAGCGATGTACCGACACGGCAATTTCCTGGTCGCCAGGATGAACAATATGCTTAGCGTTCCGAAGCCGTGCAAGAACAGTCCCAGCAGCACCGTCATGAAGTACAACCCGAGACGTCCTACAAGTTCGCTGAACGAATCTATTTCCATAATCTTGGCTGTTACTAAGAAAAACACACCGAGAGGGGACAACCTGGAATCATACAAAAAAGAAATTTAAGAAAACAAATACAGCTAGATGATATTTCGATCCAAGTCGGTGCGTATATAACTTCCTGACATAATGACTGTATGTTGCTAATTAAGTAAAGCACAAAACTGAAAATTCTGTGAAGAAAATAGCTAAAGTTCATCATCTTACATTTTATAGTAATATATTCCTTCATAGCAAGAGCGCCAGGAATCATATCGCGTTTAATTGTCAAATTACTACGATGTTCGACAGTTAGATGTGATAGTTACATATTTTCTCGAAACCTGTCATTCAGATTTTTATATTATAGACTATAATGTACTTGTAAAACAAGGTCGAAAACTTGAGCATTACTTAGCTTGGCTAACTTTGATGTAATTTGGTAGGAATATAAACACTAAAACTAAAACGTAAGCAAAGAATTCTATAGTTAAGGAGTGATTCCGTGTACACTAAACGCCTGTTTTAATAATCAACCTCCTTTAAAAGGTAAACTTATTCTAGTTTTGTATCTTACCCCTCGATAAAAACCAAGAAACAAGTATATATAAAACTAGTATATTAGTTTTACACAAAATTTGAAGAATACGTGTTGTGACTGTTTTAAAAAACCGGCCGAGTGCGAGTCGGCCTCGCGCACCGAGGGTTCCGTACAAACCTATATTTTCAAAAATATTTTTTATTATATGATGTAACTAAAAATTTACGGTTTTCGCAATCTTCCTTTATCTGTACTATAGGACGTTACTTCGTACCAAATTTCAAGATTCTAAGTTCACGGGAAGTACCCTGTAGGTTTTGATTCCCGTGCGAGTTTCGAAAATTTGCGGCATAAACGGCTGTATCTTTTGATTGCTTTGGCTTAGAAGTTTGATTTTTTCACAGCAGCAAAGGACAGTAGACATGAGTATTAGATATAAATTTCAGTTTGATACCTTCACGGTCTTGACAGACGGACGGACGGACAACAAAGTCAACAAACCTATAAGGGTTTCGTTTTCTCCTTTTGAGGTACGGAACCCTAAAAAAACGTTTACACTGCATAGACAACTAGTAATTTACCACTCGATTACACCGAGGTATAAAACATGTATTTAATTTTTATACAGATTAGATTCAAAACATTAATGTTTTAATCTACGTTAAATATATGTATTTTACCTTGGTGTACTGTGTGAGTAATCTAAATAATGAAATTCTGGCGATGATATCTACACACCCCACATATAATTAAAGAAGCTTGACTAGACACTCCATGACAGCAGATAGCGCTACCGGCGCTGCACTCCAAAAATATGGTAGCAACAATAACAATGCCAAAGAAAATGAGCGCGAGTCATTTAAAACCCTTCGGTGGTCAAAAATATCAAAATGAAATCGTAAGCGGTAGCGATAGCCTTAGCAATCCCGTTAGGCGATTGACTCCCTGGCTGTTAAGAACTCACCATATGACCCATCCAGTAATGATCATCATCGCCTCCGAAAAAGAGTGAAAGAAATTTTGCAGCGGGCGACCTTTTTCACCCATCTTGCCGAGAGTGATGCCCAGCACCACGCTGAAGCACACCAGCCCCAACACGTTACTGCCGCTTGGGTAGTCAGAATTGATTTTGTAAGTTTCCAGCTGTCCTGAATAGGAAATACATACATACATTATAACACATACATTATAACACATACATTATAAAAAAAGAAGTGGCTGTGACATACGGACGGACAGACGGACGGACATGACGAATCTATAAGGGTTTCGTGTTTTGCCATTTTGCTACGGAACCCTAAAAAGAGGAGAACGAAAAGTAGAATTAATAACCCAAATTAACAAGGGTTTAAAATAACCCCGACGCAAAAAGAGGGTTGTTATAGGTTTGACATATCTTCTTGTGTGAATGAAATTACCGATTTTGATGTGATCTTTTTCAAGCTATAAATATCAATTGAAAATTTGAAAAACTTATATGAATTTTTGAACTTTATATCCTATAATCACGATGGGACTGACATGATTGCATAAAATTACAACAGTCCTTTAAAATAAATAGAGAACAAAATGAACATTTCAAAGACCCGTAAGATACACAGAAATAAATAAATCAAGATTTATTTTGTCTGTCATGTTTTGGTACTTAATAATAATGCGCAGCAGGATAGAGAGTTTAGTTGCAGTCTTATTTATAATGAAAGACCTACAAGACCCGGCAAACTACACCACTTTATCTAAAGTTTCTTCTATGATTAGAGCAAGGTTGCAGTCGTCACTTAACATCAAGTAGGTTGGAGTCTTACGCCCGTATTACAGAATGACAACTAAGTGTTGATCTTTACTTGAGTACAGTTAGAAAGGGATGTCGCTATGTGCTATATATAGCGACATCCCTTTCTAACTATGCTCAAGACTAGATTAATTACTGAGAATCTTTGTATAATACGGGCCTGAGAATAATAACGGTTGGAGTATTTTATTTAATGAAAAAATACATAGCGGGTAAATGGCAAATAGATGGACACCAGGCTGCCATCTAGCCAGCCTGAACCTAATTTCTTCTTCTCCGTTCAATGGGGCACATTGAGAAGCTATAGTTACCACAGAACAGAAAGCATCAATCACACAAATATTTAAAGTCAAAAAGCTTACCTTTAATATGTGTCGGGTCCTTCTCATCGTATGACAGTTTGGTTCTGTAGGACGCTATGGTTGCCTGCGCTATGTTCTCTGGGAATACGTTCCTGTAATTTTAAAATATTTTATAAAAAAGAACTTCAACTTCTTCAATTCCTTATTCGACAGTGTAGCACAATGTTTATTTTTATAGTAAAAGTAGGCAAGCAAGCAAATGGCCCCCTGATGGTAAGTGGCCGCTGTCTACAGCGATACCAGAGTATAGGTAGAGGCAAACTTCTTACGCAAAATCACAGATAAATAAACTTGCGCAATAGAAGTTTTGCTATGTAAAATTGCTACTGCGCAGGCTTCCTTGGCTACGGTCGATGCTCAAAAACTTTACAGGGGTGTATATCACTCGTATGACTCGCGCCGTTGCCTTCCCTAACCCCATACGCTATTCCGTGAAGCCCTAGAACTTTGACAGAAACTTTCCGGTTAACTAATAGTCTGTTTATTTCACCAAACGATCGCAACGTAAGTACGAACAATGACACTGTCTTATATTGTTAGTTATGTCCCCAGTCGACCAAGTGAGATTTAAAAAGAAGAAATACATTAAGAGCATCATTTCATTGATCATTATCATTAAGAATTAAAAATCACTGTAGTAATATATTTTTATTATAAGCATTTAATGTTTTAATTTACAAAAAAAGATGTTTTAATCTTAAACTAGTGCTAGAATAGCACATCTTTCTCGCATTACCTAACTAAACATAATGTTGTATCTTGTAACAGCCGTAAAAACGATAAAGCCTGCGCAGACGACAGACTTTCGATCGCGGAGGACTTTTGTCCGCCGAAATAGATCGCTTACAACTACATCGAGTAATGCACACTACGGATTAAAAATACGGGACTTCCGCGGATACCAAGGGACCGGACAGGACAAAAGTACGCGAGAGTCCTCGCAAAAATAGAACATTCATGTGACGAGAGGCGGCAACACACGCAGCGAACTTCAATCCGCGTTGCGCGATCGAGAGTGATGATGTGCGTATGCAATGGCGCATGAAATCGATTGTAAAATAAAAAAAAAAAGAAGATAAAAAGAATTTCCTTAATATTTATTATACATCAAAAAAGAGTATCACGACCGAAAGGACAGTGGCGAAATATTTGGCTTTAGCGTGTATAAATTTCATCATCAGAAATGCAAATAAAATAATCTTAACAGATTTATTAAATAATTGAGGAGGTTTGTATAAGTCTGAAATTAAAAACTTAAAATTAACTAATCATTTATTATAATGTAGCTTAGCGTCATGTCTTTTGAGTCTACTATTTTACGTGATTTCAACTTCAAGTATGTTGTTCGTATGGTCTGCATCGCTTTATGCTTAAACTATAATTCAATTATCTTTCAGAAAGATCTTGAAACATTGTTTTCAATATTATAGTGAAAGCATAATAAATAAACTTAACAATACAAATATATAAATAATCAATCCGTTATAAAAGGATGGGCCCAGCGTTTTCTTTTATAACGTCTTCTTTTTTTCTTAAACTTCATGTTAATTACAATACAACTTAATCTCAGAATATTGCTTCCATAGCGTGTGCTTCACTAAATTTGCGAGCAACAAATGTCCGCACGCCGTGAGCGGCCATAAGTCCTTCGTCTGCGCAGGCCATTATATGATTATGACACTTCAAAATGACAGCTGTCTCGAGTCAGAGGTCAAGATGCAATGCAGAACGCTACTGATTTGCTCAATTGTTCTACTTCGTAAATCAACACGGATATGGCCAGGAGGGGCGTATCCATTATGCAGCTTTACCCTCTGTCAAAGTACAAGTTCAATTTAGGCTTGTGCATTTCATATACATTCGTGCGTACACAAAAATATACACAGATGATGCATCCACGATTTGGCAGTGTAGGTATTACATAGACGTAGATTCAGGAGCCAAATAGATATTTTTTTTTATTAAATCTTTAGATTTATATACCAAGCAGATTCATACTTAAAAATATCCACACATTTGACTTGCTTGCCTGACCAAAAACTGATGCATGCGTTATAAAATATGACTCTTTTTTCACACTCTCATTTTTCTTTTATTCTATCTCACAATTATCTAAGCTTCCTCTTCTCCATTATCCTGCTTTCGCTCAATCCCTATTTTTCAACCTTGCACCCCCTGCAATCCCCGGTTCTCTCTCTTTCTTTTAATGATTCTTTTAAATTAATGAAAAGTATATTTTTATGCCAGTCTGCTACGACTATCATAATGACTTTAAATATATCTTACGATACGCTGCAACACCATTTCGTGTACGGACTTGTTTGGACTTGTATGCGCTCGTATTGCTCTCGTCGTACGCGCGTATTACGATACGTCTACACTACGGCGCCGTGTGCGTAAGTCGAACCTCAATGCCCCTACGAAACGTATGACAGGAATCCAAACAAAGTCCTTATTTTCAATGTGCAAACTGTGTGAGAATCACAATTGTGTTCGACTTGCATTCTGCACTCACACGTTCCAATTCGCTCTAATTAATGCAATTTTATCTCTTGCCCATTCATCACGCGGGATGACAAGACGATCGTAAACTACTATTATGCAGTGACCGCTGTACATTGCTGTCATTGCTTCTGTGAACGCGGTCAAATACTTAGCGAGGTAGATATAAGACTGCGAACAACGAAGGAACAATGTTTTGTCTGTTATAGTGAAGTGGTATTAGCGACTGTTCCCTGGTCGTCAGTCTTCATCGGTGACTATTTAATAGCCCCCTACAGCAGCTATCAGAGTGGTCAGCTGTCGCAACTTCGTAAAAAATCCTTTTATTATTTTATGACAGTCATGTGAGAATACAGCCACATTTTCTTTAACTTAAAATTCAGATGCAGTGGAAAGTGAAGCAGATTTCACTGCTGTTCTAGAAGATGTCTTCAAACTTCTGACCTGGATAAACTCGGTATTAACATTTATGACAAATAAAGGATTAACCTTCAATTCACTATCGTGATTATATAAAGCAATGTCGTTAGAGGACCTCGGCATAGTATTCGAAGGGCACTGGAGGCACTAGAGTAAGATGTGGTAGTCGCATTGCCTAAAGGAAGCTGCTAGCGAACTCTCTGGCTTGTAGCTTGTTAGCTAGTCCCGTGTCATCGAGGCTTAACAAGAGCGACTTGAGCAACTGTGGCACCTGGATAGGTATCACTTTGCTCTTAATCCCCTCTTATGTTTTATGCAAGAATATCTTAAATAGGCTATTAAAGAGTAGCTTGCCTCTCCTTTTCTCAGACGTACTGGGCGGTATAATGCTTTGCATTAAAACAAAGGGCTTCGCAGTATAAATTGGGGAGTCACCAATATTTGGTCCAAACTTGGACTATGCCGATGCCCTGCCTGTTTAATCACACACGCACCTTCGGAGCAAAAACATAGAGGAGCTGATGTATGCAATATCGCAGAGCTTCTACCAGTGTTGCATAATTATAGTTCTAGCCAATCAACGCAAGAGGCACTGATATCATTTCGACTCCATTTTTCGTGGAGTATAGACGTGATCGTGTTTTTTTTGTATCTTGTTATTCATGCCCGGTGTTTGGGACAATGAATTTCCTTTTTACTATTTTCTATGGACACTTTTAAGAATTCAGCACAAAAAATAATTGCGTAAATTAGAAAAAAAAAACATTTTTAATGTATTAATATTACTAGCACTACAGATGGCGCCTTCTAGCCTCAAAAAGACATACTACATACTATCTAGTGTTTCCACAAACAGGGTTTTGAATTTAACCTACATTTTTTTTAAACCCCTGCTTTTCGAAAATCCTCGATTAAAAGCACGTTTTAATCACTTAGAAATACATCAAAACTTCACAATTCAAATCAAAAATTCGATAATGGTTCGTGCTAGGGGTACTGTAGTCCTAGCACGAACCAATATCTAATTAGAATAGTTTGCGAGTATGAAATGTCATTGTCAAATTAGTATGGAAACTTGAAACAAAAAGTGGCCTTTTTTGACAACGGACGTAACGAGAACTAAAAATCAATACACATTTGACAATGACATTTCGCACTCGCAAACAATTCGAATTCGATATTGGTTCGTGCTGGGGGTACTGGTATGAAGAACACAGGTTTCTGATTGCCATAGGCTGTATTCATGTGTGGGTATTCATGGGTGTGTTTTTATCATCGAAAAAGACTGAATGCAATAAATATTTTTAATTGATAAAGTTAATTGCAGTTATTAGTTACAGCTAAATTTTAATCCCCTCATTGACAACAAGAATGAAATATACTGGTTATAAGGCACATGCATTTTAATTATAACGTCAAAGATAATATTCATTTGCATTCTTAAACTATCATGCTAGAAGTTTCGTTTCAGTAAAGCTTTAGTACTCATGAACTTTTGGTAATGAAGCCTCAGAAATAAGATTATTCATATCAATAACTAAAAGCCTCTTAACATGGGACTTAGCAACTAATAATGAAATTATTTCATTTCAGATAAATGATTGGTCTTCCTTCGTTCGACCAGGAGGCCTACTCTATTTCAACGAAAAACGAAATTTCGATCGAAATTTCGCACGTTCCCTACTCTGTTTCCGTTTCATTTAGAAAGTTCGTTCGTCCGAAATATTTTGACAATTAAATTCTCCAAGCCTACTCTAATTCACAAAACTTTCGAAGGAAAAGTTGAATTTGACAGATAATTGTTCGAAATTTTGACCTCAAATCGACGAAATGAAAAATGTTACCTTTTCATTTTCGTTTTGAGATTTTTGTTTTAACTAAGCCTAAAATAATTGCAAGAGTATTTTTAATAATAGCTGCTTAGCTCGAGAAACTTTTTTAGCATGTAAAATTAACAAATAAACCATTTTTTTATTATTTTTTGTAATTTCGATACTTCAAAGTATTAAACGACAATTTGAGGTTGACATACAGTAGATTGTATCGACTCTACAAATTAGTCGGCTAACACTGTCAAAGAAGGTTCTTTCAATGTCATCAAAAAATTTTCCGTAAACTACCTATATTGTTTCCAAGTAAAAAAACGTTTTCTTAAAAGTAGAGATAAAAAGAACTCACAAACATGACTCATTCCATTCGTTCACGAAAACTGTTTATGGTTCCGAAGTTAATGTGCCTGTTCGAAAATGAAATAGAGTAGAGTCACTGGCGAAATTTCGTTTGAAATTCGTTCGTTACCGAAATTTCGTTTCGGAGAAAGAGAGTAGAGCTCCAGGTACCGCGCTATCTAAATACGACAGCTCCGTAAATTGTAGTGTGTATGTCAATTTGTAAGAATGCTATTGTGTGTGAATTACGTGTAGCCAGTTGCCTAGACGAGTAATAGGAAAAATATTTTATGCTGTGTTCTATTTGGTTATTGATGTAGGTGGTTATAATCAATATGTTACAGTTTATAATCTCGGGTACGCCGACAGCTTTGGTATAGTATTTGTTGCCGCATTTGACAAGTACGCCGGTGGTATCTAGTCAATCTCAGGGCGACCAATCATTCGTCTATGTTTTATTCATAGAAAAGAGCAGTTCCCTTAGAAAATTAATAACTTATATTAACATGGCTTGGACAGTGCAACATTTCAGTAGTTTCATGAAGAAAAGTGCGATAATCATTAAAGCAAAGTCAAGAAATAAAAATAACAAGCTTACTCATATTTGGGGAAATTAATAGCAAATTGATCTACATTTTCTTTTAATGATAGGTCCGACAAATGACTCCATCCCACCTGATGTTAAGTGATGGTGAATTCCATTAACAATTAATTAATTAATTTTGCAATAACTTAAAATATACTCCAATGAGCACTAGGTATTATCAAATTACTTGAATTATTTAAATCTAAAGAAAAATTTACTAGAAAAAAATCCACGCGGACCAGGCAGCGGACGGGACTCGAACCCGCATCCTTCGCTATCCGGGCGAATGCACTGACCATTATGCTACCACGGCCCTATTAGCCGCATCGAAATTTTCCTAGCCTTAAGCTGCAAGGCAGCGCCATCTCTTCGCATTGTAGGTAACCCACAATGTCAAATGAATACTTTTTCAAGTATTAAACATTTGAAAGAAGAAATAGCAATTATACTTATGATTTTATTTATTTTTTAAGCATTTAACTGCTAGATGTTTAAATCTAAAGAAAAGTTTACTAGAAAAAAATCCACGCGGACCAGGCAGCGGACGGGACTCGAAACCGCATCCTTCGCTATCCGGGCGAATGCACTGACCATTATGCTACCACAGCCCTATTAACCGCGTCGAAATTTTCCTAGCCTTAAGCTGCAAGGCAGCGCCATCTCTTCGCATTGTAGGTAAAAAGGAAAATTTCGACGCGGTTAATAGGGCTGTGGTAGCATAATGTTCAGCGCATTCGCCCGGATAGCGAAGGATGCGGTTTCGAGTCCCGTCCGCTGCCTGGTTCGCGTGGATTTTTTTCTAGTAAACTTTTCTTTAGATTTAAACATCTAGCAGTTAAATGCTTAAAAAATCATACTTGAATTATTATTAAAGATCTTTCAGAGAATCATGAAAAAGCAACTCAAATTTTTGGCAGCTCTCGCCATCCTGCAGCTTAATTAAATAGGCTTGAGCAAGCCAAACTGACCGTGTGTGGAGAGACATTTGGAATAGAAGAACATGCTACTCAACAGTAGGATTTTGCATATTTGATCAAGCCACTTGATCAAGCGGCATGATGGTGAGTCTAATTCCTTGGAAAAGCGCCCGTGAAGCTCCAGCGTAACATCCTACCAATAATAAATAGGTTTTATAGACTATTTTCTTGATATAAGTTATAATTAGATCGTAGCGTAGTTTATCTACAGAAAGTAACACTTTTGAGAATTGTTGTGTTTCTGTGGGAGAATAAGGTTCGAGGGCTCCACGTGGTTGGAGATGGGGTTAAGATTGGCGCGCGACACTGTTATATCGCAAGCGTTTTTAGGCTATGGTGGTCACATACCATCAGGTCGAACATTTATGTGCTTCTTTGCCACTTTTTTTGCATTATAGTACATTACTGCAGCGGCGAGCAAAAGAGGCATTGATGTACGAACGTATAAACATACACGTAAGTTACACATACGTACATCCATCAATGCCTAATTGTGACCAAGGCTTTATAGTACTTTTCTTAAATAATGAGCGGATATTTTCTGGAAAATCAAAGACGAACAACAATATTTTTCCCGTGTTTGTTTTTATTTGTTTTTTTTTCATATAGAGCTTTCTATTTCGATATCCAGTTTGAAATTTAAATTAAGCCTTTGATAAGTAATCTCCTAATTGGCATGTATCGGAGTAAAAGATCTTTCTATTTTTAAGTTACACGACAGATATGACTTTAGGTACTATGTAATTTATTTGGCCGCTAAACATGGCAGATATGGATTTTCATACAACTTTTGCCGATCGTAGTTCGTAGTTCTATGTGGCCACTAAAGCAATTTCGATATATCTCGAAGAAGGTTATCAAAATATTGCTCACATTCCCAAGCATGTTTGAGAGAAAAAAATAATACCTCGTAAACACTCGGAATAATTTTATGTACTACGTCTATATACAAATAATGCTTAATTATTATTTGAAACGTGATTCGGCATTGGTAACCGGATGGCAGAATTAAGCTGTCATACAACACCTATTAACATTAATGAGTCAATCAACATGCTGTTTGCACAGCAACACCCAAATAAGTGAAATAATTAAAATTTGTGGTAACAATGGAATCAGTCATGTGAAAGAAATTCCTTTTATATAACAGGTAAAAACATTAGCGACGTACGATTATCCAAACTTTAAAGTCTATCAGAAACTGTTCAGACTTTTTGTGAAATTGATATAAATATTTGGCTTGGTTAAAACTAATCGGACGGATCACTCACTAAATTCATCCATGCTCGTATTCGTCACACAAGCATTTGCCCCACCGGGATTCGAACGCGAAATCTCTGAGTAAACCTGTTTTTGAAAACCGGTGTACTACCACCCGAGTCACGGAGGTCGTCAAAGTTTTTCTTTACAACTTTCAATGTGTGTATCTACTTAATAGCTCACCTAATTAAATCGAGTAATGTGTCAGAGGTCAGAGTTTCTTTGGTGATGAGCTTGGTGGCGTTCGGCTGCGGTTGCTGGTAGGCCTCAGGGTCCTTGCCGGGCTTGATGGTGGTGACGAGCGCGATGCCCAGCATCACGGCGCACACCGTCGTCGTCATGTAGTAAATGATCGCGCGCAAGCCCACTCTGGAAACATGGTATTTGTTTACATCAATATATCGCTCTTACTAAAACACATTCTTACAAGTCAACAAGTCTTTTATTAAATAAAGTAGTGTGTGTGATAATAAAATAAGTCTCTCCTTTCTGTAGAAATTTTCAGATTAAGTGTCCCATCTGCTTGCGATCTCGATAGATTCTTTGTGTTGATCTCAATTCGATTTTAAGTAGAGCACTACTCTTCATACCATTTGCTTTGATATGAATGATGGAAATTGTATTGAAATTAGGTTGATTAGATACGAAAACAAGTACTTTATCTAATGCTGTGTACTTAAAACAATAGAAACCAACTCACTTGCCAGAGAGGCTTAAGTCCAGGGATCCGATAGCCGACACGATCGAGGACACCAGCAGGGGTACTATTAGACACTTCAGCATTCTCAGGAAGAGTTCACCCGGGAATTGGAAGTACATGACCTCCCGTTTGGACCACTCGTACCCTGATGACCTTAGACCCCATCCGAGTAGCGTCCCGGACAACACACCGATGACAGTCATGAGAGTGAGGAGGTTCTCCCTCATGAAAACCGCACAGCGGTTCCTGGGGAGCTGGAGCGGCATACTGGACTTCGCTTCGGGCTGAAACAAATGACAGTTTTTAGACAAGTTTTTTAAGTCACTCCAATTATACTATCCCCAAAGTAAGCATTGTGAGGCTTGTGTTATGGGATATAAAGGCTACGGATAGAAATACTTTTAATAACTCAACTTGAATAAAGATTATTTTTATTTCATTCCAATGATCGTTTTCATCATACAAACTTTTCCCCGGGATTCGAAAGGAGGTCCTCTAAGTAGGCGACACATTGCAACCCTTGAAACTCCACCACGGAAGTCGACAAAGTGAGAGAGTTTATTACTTCATCGCTTTAGTTAATGATACTGTGTTGAATAATAGGAAAAGAGATAATATCCCAGCTGCCATCTTTTGTTAGTAAAAGTTTATTTGTATGATCACTCTCTTTTCGCGTTGTAAAGGCCTTAGCAGACATACGAATATCAACTCGGAAAGGGATCGTCATCGTATCAATTCGAGCCGTACAATATACTTTGTATGAAACTTCCTACTGTAACGCACCCTAATCGGAACGTAACTCCTCGGGACAAGCTCGTGTTTTTTCGCGACCACGCTTATCACATAAGATTGAAAACACAAAAATTAGGGTTATTATTCTCTTCATATCTACCACCAAAGAAATGACCTACTTTCGTTGACTCAATGCGTAGCGAAAATAACAGGTCGCCCGTCCTGGGCCTATAATACAAACCAAGATGATTTCCACTTAGAATTAGAATAAAATAATTTGTGTCCATGTATTTCTCATACTATTTTTACTTTTCGCTTAGCCTTGTATACTTGTTTTGTAAAAGAATAATAACTCTGTGAAACTTACACCAACTCGATATCTTGAAAATACACAGTAACGTAGAAAATGCACTATTTAACTTTCACCATAGCAAGAGATTTTAATCCATTTATTGATTTTCAAAAGGCAATCTCTTTGTATTTTTCTGGGTCACTTATAAGATAGACCATAATACTGTTTTCACGTAGTTACCAAAAGATACAACATTAAGACAGTTGTTGGATGTATTTCTAACTTCCGAATCTTTCACTCCGGTTAGCGCGACAATACAAAGGACGCCCTGCTGTGCCGTCCCTCTGAATAATATTAGATGACACTTGGCACACTGTGCCGACTATCGTGTACTGCAACTAAACTGCAACTTCCGTCTAATTATATTTTCAGGAGATATTTACCGCTCTTAATGGAGCGCTCATCTCGTGAAGAATAGGTACTCTACCTTACAAAAGACCACGGAAAGGAACACTACCTTTTTTGTAAATTAGTCGGGGAGTGTGGTTTACGGGACTACACAGGGAAAGGGACTCTCCTCTAATATCGCAAGCGTCTAGACTACCAATATAGGTTACCAAAAATATCAACGGAAGCAGCAGAATATCTACTGAGTTCTATTTTTAAGTCAACTGAGCCTTATTTGACAGTGATTTGTTGTTTTTAAACCTTTATACGATATTGTTGAATTCCACCAATCTAACTTTAGAACAGCGCTTAATGGAAATGCCAATTTTTGTAAATCACACGATTAGAGCAAATGTAACATTTTGTAGCTCCATTTAAAGGGAAATTTCCCGTTCCCACGAAAAAAATGATGACAAGATCGTCGATTTTACCCATGGATACGCTCACAAAAGTGCTTTATTGCAAACGTATAACTCATACGTTTAAACTCGCCCCAACACAGTTACAATACCTCACCAACAAGATGTACACGAAAAGTGGATTCTAGTCGCGGTTTTTACCTCCATAGAAGCTAAAATCGCGTGTATGCGCACGCGCACGTGGGAGCTGCGGGACCCCCGCGCGGATGTGGCGCGGAAATCTTTATTTAGCGGCATCATCGCGATCAATCCGCAATCCCCCCGTCGCTCACACGCACTCTATATGCCATACCTGGTGTAAGCGGATGATGCCGGTGGTCCAAGATATGATACAAAACTTTTTTTTTTTTCATGTTACATGTCGAGTATGTAAATAAACCGCATGATGATCATGTTTCAGGTAGAGTACATAAACCGCATGATGGGCTTACAATCTGTAAGGCCTGCTTTATTGTAAGGGGCCACTATATCCTCAGACATCAGATCCCCAAACGTGGATGATACCAAACTTTTTTTGTTCGACAGGTTAACGAATGAGTATATGGAACACATAATTGTATGGGGCCACCTAAGACGCTTACTAGACGATACCAAAGTCCCCTGCCCCGAGATCATGATCACCAGAAGATTAAACTCAATTATGTAGTAAGGAATGTCCTACAAGATGTATGGTGGTAAATATTTATAGCCACCATACCTACTCCAGAAGTAAGGTATTCCTACCCAGTTCCTATCTTGGTGGTAGTAAAAAAATATTGGACGATTCGATTTAGCCTCCAATAAGTCAATGTAAATTAATTGCAATTCCATTTCATCTCCTATCCCGAAATAGCATATGCAACCATTACTACACATTACACTATTTTTTGTTAATTGATGTGTAACATCTTTGCTCTCGCTTTCTTGCAATTTGTGGGAATGATTTTGTGAAATGATACGGAAGTGCGTAACAGGAAGTCCGGGAAGCGCGCGCTATTTGATTTGATTTTAGAATATAATGTTTATATTGCTTATTTCTTTTGAAGTAGGTTTTATTTATTTTTTTACTAAGAAGAGGTGTCAAATATTACACATCATATGCTACTACTGTAAGGCTCGCTCGTTTTTTTAGCAGGAGTTTTACACATTGCTGAGCCTGGTAACTTCTTCACACCTCTTTTAAAAGAAACCCATGCTGTATTCTCCTGGGAAAATCTCAACTAGCATTCTCAATTCCACAGCTTAATCGTAATCGGAATGAAATGAAATTAAAATAAACTTTATTACAGTTGACTTATTAAAATCTAGTTAAAATTTCCCTAAAAGTCGCAGTCAGTACGTTGCTCGGTTGCATAGCATAATGATGAGCGAATTTTATATATTTAATGCCAATTCATGACAAACATCCGTTTCACATGTGCGGCAACATTAATGACTTCAAAGTGGCACACAAAAAACATTAAAATCAATATAAACGGAGGTTATAAACTGTAGCGAAATTCAACTTTTACAACCATATTAATAAACTAGAGATATGGCTTACACTAGTTCAACCTTTTTTTGCAAATATCACTCAAATGCTATTTGTACTTTAATGAACAGAGACCCAGCAACTAGAGTAAGTAATCCAACCTTATTCTTCGCTTATTAATAAGGCGGTAAGGTAAATGAATAAAATTCAAGTTCTAATTATAAACTGAATTATATTTGAATGTTCCTTTGAAATAAATAACTTTTAATTGGGTTTAAGACTTTTTTTATATGCGCTTTAAAGTTTCAAAACGGTGTAGGTTAGTATCTACTGAAGTTGCAAATTTCAAAATCAATAAAAGATTGATTGCTAAAAAATTATTGTGCTTGTATGCTACTTATATGTCTAAGCAATTAAATTAAAAACACATTTTAATAACTGAAAATATCTTACGTAAAAAAATCACATCCATATTTATATAAACAATGCTTAGCAGAAAACTTATTAGGGAAAAGAAATGTTTTTCGTATAACTGTAATAGTTATTAAAATATTAGCGCGGTAAGTTGGCTAAATTACAAACGAGTAGGCAAAATTCCGATTTCGCTCGAATGTCATACAAAGTTTTCAACATATTTGCAAAACCAAAGGACATCGACGAAATCGGCCCTAGCATGCCCAAAAGAATGTCCTTCACTATTATCTTTCTATTATTTTTTTAACATATTAGCAATTAATCATAGTAAACGGACAATCTGTTTAAAAAAATAAAAAAATAAAGTTCTGTTACTAGATACTACAGTCTATTCATCCAACTTGGCACTCCTTTTTATTGAAAAAACAGCATTAAAAATCAACTGATAACTGGATTCAAAAGGTTTCAGTCTATAATAACGATTTATTTTAATAGTTTATTGGCTTCGTTAATATTTTATTATTAAATGGGTGATTCTGTTAAAAAGTTGTGCCAAGATTGTTTACTTTAATAAATGCATAGGTATTTATCAAAAGAAAAATAGAGAAACCTTAGTTAATAATACTTATTACTAGTATTATATTTATAAAAAGATTATTTCTGAAATTATGTAAAGATAGTTTATACTCCCATCCCATGTAATATCTGTTTATTTTTATGAAAATCATAATGATAATCAGGTACATACCTAATTACCGATAGTAAAGTATAGAAACAGGTAAATGGAAAGACTGAACATTTCATTTGAAAAGAAATCTATTATTACTACAGGTAAGGTATAGGTATCGTAGGTGCCAACTGATAACACTCATTAATCAATATGAATATAAGCATATATTATTTTTATTATTAATTGCATTTTATGTTCATTTAATGCATATTATTTAAGTGCTTACATAGAGGTAAACACTAAATCTATTCAGAATATATAAAGTGTACATCTTTTACGATTAAGTATAATAATTATAACCTCAAATTCAAATACATTCTGTAGTAGGCCACGGTTCCTCAAGTTGTCCGTATCTCAACAAATGCCTAATTAGAGTTTATGAATGATTCCGAACACAACTAGCATTTTCTCATTGCTGGGCGTTCTAGGGCATTCAATGTATGGGGAACGAGCAATGTCCTTTTTAAAATAAGAAAAAAAAATACCGTGAAAAAATAAACCATTTTTTTATCTTTTAAATTATTAATATTAAATTATTACTTGGAGTCAGTGCCAGTGCCAGGCCAACCCAAGCAGTAAATTAGGAACTCAGATCTACCAGACATGCATGGCACGAATTCCAAATATTGATTTGACTGAAGATATAAAAGGTTTTTATTTTTTACTCTTCGGAGATTTTATTATTTTATAAAAAAGTTTTTATTTTATATTTTTTGTGACTATCATTTTTTAATAAACAACTCAGCATCAAAATCTGTGAGTGAACATTCACCCCTATTTTTCTACCTTTATAGTAGGATTATTGTTTATATCCGTTTCCAGTGAAAAATAATTATCAAAATCAGACTACTCTGTAAAAACTTATGTGATGTCATAAATTACAATCAGTGAGTGAACAATAAATCATCCTCTGTTTTCGATATGATTGGATATTTTTTCCAAATTTATATGGGACCAATTTCGTCCGCAAACTATTTGAATTCGATAATGGTTCGTGCTATGCTAATTAAAAAGGCGCGCATTTCCAAGTGGCGTACGTTCGGGTGGTGAAAATTAGAACAACACCATTCGCGTATTTTTAGTATTAAAGAGAGATAAAGGTATAGATTAAAAGCGCTTCCAAGAAGGTTTAATAGAAATTAAAAAACCGTGAAAGATATACACGTCCCCATTGTGTGTCCCGTAAATTTGAACTTTCGAAAAATATATATATATATAGGTACAACCTCCGTAAATGCATTTTTTGAGCAAATGTGTTCATCTCAGACAAGGTAACTAGGGCTATAATACCTACGTAACGTACCTACTTACTTCGCCGTTACCTTGGCATGTTTTTTTTTCACACTGCAAACTCTTGCAAATATTACTATAAAACTTACAAAACATAAAAACCAATCAATGATTTCTATCAGAATTCACTATACACACTGCTAAGTATTATTAAAAAACTCTGAAAACGAAAAAAATGCGCTTTGTACTAAAAATACATATTTTCCGCGCGCTAAAGACCTAATTTTAAAATTCCCAACATTAGCAGCAAATAATATGTTAGACTTAATTATTAAAATATTATTTCGGGTTCCAAGTACATTTTTCAATCACATGTGTAATAAATCTTTACATAATTATAAATTTAATATTGATTCGAAAATACTAGAGCTTCAATCGAATTTAAAGGCACAAACATCGGGTGTTCCTATCACAAATGACATGCAGTCATTTGTGCAGTGTAATTCCATGTGAAACCGTAATTATTCTTTTGGTTTCAAAAAATCATGTGCTATAGAAATTCTAACAGAAATTCTAAGTCGTGGATTCCACTTTATAATTCTGGGTCTACATATTGAAAAAAGACTTATATTATGACTCTTGACCTTCGGTAACGAAGAATGCGACCGTTTCGAGAGTCGTCAAGAATATGCAAACAATCCGTGTCGTTAACGAAACGATTCAGAGATCACCTGGTTCGCCGCGCTCTCGTCAAAGGTTGGAGTACTCGGCTTATCCCCTGCCAACAAAGGTCGGCTCGACCTATAAAGGGGGATTACGCTTAATAACTGGGATATCGGAGTCCTCTGGCTCGGCAATCAGCGCTATTATGTGCCTATGCTGAAATTGAGCTCCGCGTGCCTGTAACGCATTGTACTTTGTCTATACTGGTGACTTTTGTACTTTTTAGGTTTTTTTTACAAATTCAAATTCTTTATTGCATAGTCACATGGTTCATCATCATCATCATCATCATCATCAGCCTATTAATGTCCCCACTGCTGGGGCACAGGCCTTCGCTATGGATGGAATAGGGAGATTGGGCCATGACCCACCACGCGGGCCCAGTGCGGATTGGTGGGTGCTAACGACTGCAGATGCAGCCGGGACCAACGGCTTAACGTGCTTTAACCGCTAGATTTATAATTCTAAAGTTATTATTATTATTTTTACTAGAAATGAACAAAAATAAAATGATTCCAAATATATGATAACATTTAGATATTATTAGACAACTATTATATTAACTAGAGTTTTATACTAGTATTAATTATATTATTATTAATTTGTTACATTATTATTAATATTTATTATATTATGAAAATTTGTCATAAAATATTCGGAAATATTATAGTAACTTTTATTTATTAGAAAAAA